TCAAGTGGGCCCACTTCCCCTTAGCCCACTTGTGGGCCCTATATAACGGGAGGTAGGACCCCCCCCTCAAAGAGGCGCCGAATCTTGTGAGAAATTATCGTTGTGAGTTATCTTCCTCGTGACCTAGGATATGGAGGGAAGGAGGGAGAGGACGGCCGTCGATACCCTGAGGACTTCGTTCATCGTGACGCTGCTGCCGGAGAAGTCCTCCCGCCGCCTGAGACCACTGCCGCCGCCAGACAGTTTCATTGCCGCCCGCGAGGTCGCCGCCGTCACCGGACGAAACGGTCGCGGTTGCCGCTGCAACCGCCGCCGCCTCTGCTAGAACCCCGTCACGCCGTCGTGACGAAAGGGGCTTACTTCGCCTCCCTACGAGTCGTCGCCGAGCACTCCGCCGGAGTCTCTTGACTCCTAGTTCGACTGCCACCTCTTCCTTCGGAACTCCACCCCAAACTCGCCGGGGCCGCCCTCCGCCGCTCCGCCCAGTCGCTGGCCGTTCGCCGACGAACGCCAACCTGCCGCCGACGTCGGGAGAGACCCTGCAGCCGTGCCGACGAGCCAGAACCAGTCCAAGCTCCTCACAGGCCCCCGCCGGAGTTTCCCGACGCTCCGCCGCCGTCGCGCCGTTTCCGGCGCCGCTTAGACCAGGAGAGCTCAACCCTCCCTGGTATCGTCGGCCGGATCGTCTCCTTCCTCTGCTCCGCTTCCCGGCGCCACCAGAGAGGGCCGATCCTTCCGGCGACGGTTGGGTCTCCGCCCAACCGCCGACGCTCGGCATTCCCACCGAAGCACTGCTGACGCTCGGCCTTCCCGCCGAAGCGCCGCTGACGCTCGGCATTCCCGCCGAAGCGCCGCTGACGCTCGGCATTCCTGCCGAAGCGCCGTTGACGCTCGGCATTCCTGCCAAAGCGCTGCTGATGCTCGGCCTTCCCGCCGAAGCGCCGCCGACGCTCGGCATTCCCGCCGAAGCGCCGCTGACACTCGGCATTCCTGCCGAAGCGCCGCTGACGCTCGGCCTTCCTGCCGAAGCGCCGCCGCCGCGCGCGGCCCGCGCGCCGGCTCCGGCGGCCCCTGCGCTCACCCTGCGCCGCCGCCCGCGTGCCCTGGGCACGCCGCGCGGCTTGCCGCGTGCGCCCGCTAGCGTGCCCTTCGGCCCACCTGCGGGCCCACGCCCGCGCCGACTGTGCCATGCCTTACTACGGCGACTACTATGATTCTCTCCTAGGACCGACCGTCGACATTGAGCATCGCTCTTCACCGGACGTCTCTGCCTTCGTCGAATCTCCGCTCCGTTACGACCCGTCGGGCTACGCAGCCCCAAAGGTTAGCTCCATACCCCTTCTTACTTAAGTTTAATTATCTTTTGAAAGGTTTCCTCGGCTTGTTTCCACCGCCATCAGGAGAACGTTGATAGGATAGGACGAGTTATCAAATCGTGACTTCCGACGTTGCGCCAGACTCGTCACCGTTCGTGAGCTGCAGCCCTAGGCTACTTCACGACGACCGTTCCACCGTCTGTCCGGACATGGACTGAGAGGGCCTCACACTTACCATCGTATTTCTCCGAGTTGTCCTGAGTTGATAGTGCATATTGGTACGCCTACCTGTACTTAGGTTAAGTGGTCAGACCTAGAGTCTAAAGTCTATACATTCTTATCGGATCAGCCCGACAGCCCCTTCTCGGTTCTTGAGTTTCATTGATCAGATACAAGGGTTCTCGCCCCGTCTTGCATCACTATAGATGATGGAATCTAAGGAAAGATTTTTGCCATTTTTAACAAGTAAAAAGAATTCTATTTGAAAGCAAAAAACCAAGTCATTTCAAGGTAAATTGTCCAAGGTTCAAGAAGAGAGAGTTATAGAAAATTAAAAGCTTTGGATATGACTTGGAGTGAAGACAAGATATATTCTATTGAAGAGCAACCTTATGTTTGCTTCACCATAGAAATAGATGAGGCACAAAATATTGGAGCACTAAAAGAATAATGTTTCGATGATGACAAACACACATAAGACTAATAAATGGATCAAATTATTTTAACGACTCATCGTACATGAAATATGATTATGTATTCCTTCAGACATGAGCATGAATTTAATTGAATGGAAATTCAGAAAAAAATCAACTAATAAGATAAAATATTTAAATAGGAATTTTAGAAATACATATGGGTCTCATAATGTTTGATTCTAAAATTTGGTAGATTAATCACTAAAAACTATTAATTTATTATTTTTATGAGAATTATTAACATTTAGATACATTGCCATTGTCATAAAATAATGATTTGATTATTTGAATTATTGAAAATTTTTGATGTAAAATATGTGTATGAAAGTTTAATTCTAGATTCTGATGATGCTACATGAATACATTGGATCATTCTTCAAATCAAAATTATCGATTGAATTCAAACTATTTAAATTGCAGCTTAGCATATTCAGAATAGCAAAAACAATTATTTAGAAAATAATTTTAAATTATTATGTGTCATCTAAGTTAGGATTTTATATGTTGAGATAACGACTCAATATGTTTATTCAAAATTTGTGATTTATTTGAGGTGATTTAGATAATTTTTCAATAAGAAATTATTACTTTATTTTGAGATGCATTATTAGTTTCATTTCAGCAATAGTGAATTCTTAACGAACCTATTTGAACCAATAAGCTTTGTATATATAGAGTTTTCAATGGGTATGTCTATTAGTTTCACTTATAGGTTACTTAAACCCTTAAAAGTCATGTCGCATTCATCTCTAGTCATTTGAATTTCTAATTAATTTTAGGATTTAAACAGAAGAGATGACAAAAAAAGATGAGGGTTTGAATCTGATTTCTTCACAAATTCAGTATCTTTCTAGTAGCTTAGTTATAATTAGTCATCTTTGATCCGTCTACTATCATGAGCTTCTTGTTGAAATTTTTTGTAAAGAAATTGATATGAATTTGAGTGACTTCTTTGTTGGGTCAAATGACAATGCAATGAGTTGAGGAACAAAACCTATGTAATGTGTGATCTTCTTTGACTAGCTTGAAGAAGATCTCCTAGCTTTCCAACATGAAGAGGAAAACAAAAATCAAGTTCCAACTCATCCACATCTCCATTGAATTTCCAAATGCACTCTAAGTTAATGCTATCATCTAAAGAATACTCATAGTGCATTTCTTCCTTATCTTTGCAAGAAAAACTTGTGATTAAGTTCTCATTTAATCACTCAAGGGGGATAATCTGTGTAATCAACAATGACCCTCCAAGAGTCATGAAACTGAAAGAAAATGTTAGAAAAAATATTGTGAGAGCTGAGCCTGATAATCAATAGTTGTGATTGCTACACATTTGATTTAATGGAATATAAGAACAAGTATTTTTTGAGTGCATGAAGACAAGAATCATTGTAAAAAACCTAACGTCCTCTAGATTTAAAGCTAGGAATATCATAGGATTAAGGATCTGAAGAAGATGATCAAAGAGAAAAATAGTTGACCCATGTCAAAATTAGAATTTGATCAATTCAAGCCTTGCTTCTTGATCTAAGTGAAGCCTAAAATTTAGCATACATCATTTATGAGATCAAATTATGTTTATTATTTATCATATATGAGCTACACAAATATTATTTTGGACATGACGATGAAATTAATTAGGCAAAAATTGAATGAATGACACAAAGTAATGATGTTAAATATCTTGATAGTGATTCAAAGAATTATGAAATTCAAATGAATATGTTAATTAATGCTCCAACATCTTTCATCTAATTAAACACTAGGACCTACTATTGACATCAAGGTCCATGGAAATCACCATAAATCTCATCTTTGAGGTGTATGATCATCCTCATTTTGTCACTAACTTATCTTAAATGGATCTTCTATTTTTTTGAACTTCTGTTTGAATAATTGAAAGAGAACTTTTGCATGAAAAATATAAAATACAATGGCATATTTTTTATATTACTACATTTCAAGGTAGATTGATGATATTTATTTTATGCCCAACCTATTGAAATTATCATTAAAAATTATATTCTATATGATTTTATGATGAATCTTACAAAATTATGCATATTAATATGTTGAAGTAGACTAGCTTACTTGGAATGGCTAAAAAAACCTTGCATTATGACTCATGGCATCTTCATTGAGTTTGGAATAGATATGCAATCGTTTTCTTCTTCAAACATCTTACTTAAATAATCAGTCTTCCTATTTGGAAGTAAAAAAAAACAAATTTCTTTTTTTGCATGTAAGCTTCTCATATAAGAATCTTATAAGCCACTACAAAAAGGAGCAAAACTACACATATGAAAAAAAATAGATAAATACTTTTTATGATTGACGGAGGGATTATGCTGATTTTAGAATTATTTCCTTAGTTTATTGGTGTATTGAATTGACAATTCACTCACAATTCATCCCTCTCATTTGAATTCTTTCCATGCTCAATGTGTTATCATAAAGATGGAAGCATCCATGTGCCTAAGCTATGCTAGTCTAATTTTACTTATTACATGCATAAAATGACTAATAAATCCAGTTAATATAAATTTAGTATGTTTACACAAAAAGCTTCTAAATATTTTTTATGTAGGTATAGCTAATTGACTCTATCAATAATGCAGCTGGGTCTGGTGTATCATTGAGGATTTGCCTTTTGTATACGGATTGGATAAAAAAATCTTGAACATAGGTTGTTCAATTTTGTTTGGAGAAAATTTGCTCTATGTCAGGCTTTGACTTATGTGGAACCCACCCAGTTTAATGGACGCTTATGAAAAGATGAGTCGGTATGTGTTGAGGTCGTTGTCGTAGTTTTATTAATTTCCTAAGGATATCTATCGAGCTTCGAGGTCAGCCCAAAGGCGTGGTATGTCCACGTAATCCCCTCTCCTGCCTGTCTTCTCCCCCTCCTCCTCGCCTTATCCTCCTCTCTCTTTCTTCCACTCTCTCTCTCTCTCCCCATCCCCAGCAAACCTCCCTTTCTTTCTCCAGAGACATGTCTGGAGCGCCAGTTTTCAAGGCAACAGCCATCTTATCCAAGGTGGATGGGTGCCTGACGGCCCTCCCGGCTCACTTTCTTCCTGAGAGTCGCCACCCTTTCCTGGCCTCACCTGCCAGGCACATTGGCGTTCATCTCGCTCAGTTCACCTCGCCGCCGTCCTCGGTGCCCCTCCCGTATCTCAGTAGGAGGGCACCTTTCGTCTCCTTTGTTTGGCAGACCTCAGGCCAAGCCCAGCAGACTGAAGTGGGTGGAGAGGAGGCTGTGCTCTCCGAATGGGAGGGGGATGGTGAGAGCGTGGGCGTCGAGGAGGTCACGGGGTGGGACGAAGGGACTTCTGAATGGGGCAAGGACGATGGTGAGGAGTCTCTCGAGAAGGGAGACAAGGGAGCCTTACCAGAGCCACCTGAGGACGCGAAGCTCTTCGTCGGAAATCTCCCTTATGACATGGACAGCGAGATGCTTGCCCAGTTATTCGAGCAGGCCGGGATCGTCGAGGTCGCCGAGGTACATAGAAATGTTCTCTGAATCCACACAAGGATTTTACGGTGTTGTTGTGTTTCTTTCTACTGTGGGTTAGGAGTTTGGTTGGAATTGAGGTGCCAATATCAGGAGTGCGGGGATATAGCATTTACTTCACCCATGTTCACATCTTGTAGGTCATCTACAACAGGGAAACAGACCAGAGTCGCGGTTTTGGGTTCGTAACCATGAGCTCTGTTGAAGAGGCCGAGAAAGCCATACAGACGCTTAATCGCCATGTAAGTACCTTACCTCGCTTCCTTCTGTCGTTCCTCGTGTATCTAATGCCAGAGAGTTTGTAAAATCTCTACCATTCCATGTTGGCAACAAGTCTACGCCTTGGCAGAACAGGAGAGGCCTTTATCAGTAGAGTTTTTTTACTAGAATAATGCCGATAAATTTAGTATAGTAAATTCTTATGAAGTAAGTGTATCTTTGTATGTTTGTCTGCAATCAGTATATCGAAGGAAGGCTGTTAACAGTAAACAAGGCAGCTCCCAGGGGAAGCAGGCCAGAGAGAAGCCAGTCAGAGAGGACACCGAGAGGGTTTGAACCCCGATCAAGGATCTATGTTGGCAATCTGCCGTGGAGCGTGGACGAGGCCCGCCTCGAGCAGGTGTTCAGTGAATATGGCAAGGTTGTCGAGACAAGAGTGGTCTATGACCGGGAGTCCGGGCGCTCCCGTGGATTTGCCTTTCTGACAATGTCCTCACAGCAGGGCACGGATGATGCTATCGCCGCTCTTGATGGGCAGGTACACCCTCAACAAGATCTTTCTCAAGGATAGGAAGGCCTAGCCTCAACAAGACCCTCTTCAAGGAGGGCAAAGCCTACCTTCATTCTCTCCAACCATTCCATTCACTAGATTACAATATTTTCCTTGGTTACTTTAGTTATCAGTGGCTCTTACATATAATTTGCCTTATTGGTCATTTTTTGTATGCAAAATGGTGCTGACTTCCTCTGTTCTACCGATACAGAATTTGGATGGCAGGACCATCAGAGTCAACGCTGCTGAGGAAAAGCCAAGGCGGGGTTCCTTTTGACTGATATTGGTTGATTGATTGATTGATTGATTGAACTCTCGTCTATTTTTGTAGCTCATTCTGCACCGACCCATCCCTTCCCCCCATCTTCTGCTTCAGGGCTGTTTTTTCTATCTTGGTGTTATCAGGTGTCGTCAACTAGTAGATAAAGAAAGTTGTTCTTGCCAAATCTAGTCCTGTTTTGTTACGATGAAGGGGTTTTCTCCTGAAGAATTTTGACGGCCATCTTCCCCTTTCTCTCCCTTATTTTGTTTTTTTCTTCTTTATGAGGACTACCGGAGCTCTTGTCAATGGTTCCAAGCCTCTTATTGGTCAGAAGAGGTGCAATTTATGAATGGAAAAGACACCAAACTTTCATAGCATTTGAGAGAAAAATTATACACCTGAAATTAGAAATTTTCATTGGTTTCATCAACATTGTGGACGTCATTGTTCACTATTTTCTGCTTCAGAAGATTCATTGGACGTGGTAGGAATTTAGAAAGAGACTGTTCACCGCAATCCACCAGAGCCTAGTAAAATGGCAGAGAGCATAAAAAACTGTTCTTCAAAAATCAATACATCCTCTCAGCGAGGCAAGGATCTGAATAAGACAAGGAAAGAAACAATACATTTGGAACTTAGTCGCTGCTCACAACGAAAAAAATAAAAATAAGAATAACAGAGTATGACTTAGACCTTTTGCTTTTTTTCTATGCATATTTGACGAAACGAAACCCTTAGAATACAAAGAAAGTTCCCTATCAAGCAGGTACGTGATATTTTTCTCATCAGCCCGGACGCCCAGATTATGCCTCAGAATTGAATGTTCAAACTGCCAACAAACTATATCTGGCTAGGACAGCTGATAGCCATCCAAAGAAGCTACACCGGCAGGAAACTGGCATGTTCTCAGCAGTAAGACCTTCTTGATCACGATGAGGAATTACTAAAAACCTGCAGCATCAAACCATTATGATGCATTAGTGGAGCATAATCAGCTAAATGGATAATGTATCGAAGAGAGAATCCCACCCCTGCCAAGATATCTTTTGAAAGAGTTCCCTTCTTCTGATTAGTGTTGCCAAATGGCCTGTTCTGGGAAAATTGTCGATAGATTTTGGCCTCCCTTTTGTCACTTCTGTCATCCGCAGTGAATCCCACATCTCCATTCCTCCTCTTCTGCATAAGCCATCATGAAGACAAAAGTACGTGTTTTATGTCGAAAATTGTCTGACCACACCAACAAATTAGATAATCTTTAACTCATCACCATGAAGATTTTCATGGTCCGTAATTAACCCCAAATGGATATTTATATCAAATGAAAACACTGCACAGAGTTAAGTAAATTCAAACATAAATAGTAAACACTGCACAGAGACGACCTCCTACAGAAATACATTTACCTTAAAAAGGTGAGGATCCATATGGCGCCTAGTCCCCCATCAACTAACTTTCAGGGACATCCCGTTTTCAACTTTGCTAATTAAAGAAAAATGAAAATCGTTAAGCTATTCTTATACTTGTTAACACTTCTCCCTCTACACCTGAGATGACTGCTATGTTAGAAGAACCTGCCTGACATGGCTACAACCATGGAAATCCCAAATAAGAATAAATATTAAATACTAGACTAGATGTAGATCAAATCTATCCTATAACAAGAGGTTGTTTGCACTAGGCTGACCAATGACATACGTTCATAAAATTATCTCTCAAACCCTTCAATGAAACTCTCAACAGACAGTGGGAGTGGCATCGCGAGGTAGCTTACATGAAGCTCTCAAACTGTCATCCATACTTCCCTCTCAATGGGCACATTTCTAGTACCACTCTTCAAATATCTTCCTGCAGTTCATTTGTTTCTCCAATAGACAGATATCATCAATCCAATCGTATATAATTACACCTTCCATCATAGGTAAATTAGTTGGAAACCCTCTTCATATGGCTCAAATCCTTCCTTTTACACGCCCTAATCCCACAACCCTTCACAACATTTTGCTTCATAATTATATGGCAATCATGAATTTTGGTGACCATCATTGCCAAACGATTTTTTGAATTCTCTATTCATGAATGACGAAATCTAGACGAACTGATACGTGATTAGATCTGTTTCATAGAGACCCATGATGCAGAAGATGCAGAAGGCCTACTCAAACTCCACGTTAAAGATTAATTCACACCCTTTATGGCATTTCCTTCCATGTGTCTCTAGAAACTACCAAATCATTCTCGCTTATAACAATAGCTAACCTTTTGGATAGAAATAATATTTCTTATGGAGAATAAATAATGAATTTCTCCATACTGCTACAAATTGCGTAAGCTTTTCTTCATATTAATAGAGCGACATGGGCTGGGAAAGGGAAACGAAAATAGCGGAGTAGAAAAAGCATAGTCTTTGAACATAGTCGCAACCCTACTCTATACCCATCCGTCTACAGCACTCCTCTCGTATCCTGGAGTCCACTACCAACTCCTCCATATGATTCTCACCCACCATCTCGGCCTCCCTTCCCAAAACAAAGCTCCCAGACGTTATAGTACCATCTTTAGAGTTTTCGGTCCCAAAACATATTTAATTTTCGAGAAACTAAAACAAAGTACCAACATTTGTTTTCTTGAGAATTGCCAACGCTCTGAATTAAGAATGAGTGTTGACAAAAGAGAGTCTCACCTTCAAGACATGGATGGCCTCTGAAACACCAATGACTTTAATGCAAGCGATGACTGAGGTACTAAAATATTTCCTGGGTTCATCTATAGTTGTTTACTTTGATTGAATATTAGTAGTAACCATGATAATAAAGGAGCATCTAGTTCACCGAGAAGTTGCAAACTATTCCAACATCTACAATTACATCACCAAAATTTCATAAGGTCTTACCTTGTCTGAGTAAGAACGCTCCTAATAGTGAAAAAATTTTCCAAGTACATTATGCTTTAGAAAAGTAACTTAACCCTCGTTAAAATACAAAAAAAGCAAGGATTTGGAAAGAATGGAGATATTAATACGGATTTTAATAATTCATGCTGGCTAAAAATTTTAAGTTAATATCATCAAAAGATGATCACCTCAGCACCCATGTTTTCCTAGTAGAACACACATTTCTATCCGCAACTTAGTGATGTCTACTTTCATGACTGCATCTTTTCTTTACACAATTCGATGACACAGCAATTTTTCAATATTTAATTTAATTACCTTCCAAGCATCGAGCATATTAGATATTTGACAAAATTCCTCATTCAAGGACTTTTATCTTCTTATAACATAAGATTATTTTCTTAAAACTCTATCAAAATATTTCGCCTATCACTTTCATAGTTTCCAAATCAAGAATACAATTAACCGTCATCACACCTCCAGACCGAAGGATGACCATTCATGTAACATTCCAAGTAGCTGGTGCAGCAGAGTCAGTGTTTTTCCTTGAAAATTGAACATTTCAAGAATCCCACCAATAAGAATAATAACAGCTTAAACTAAGACTTGATAAGATGTAACACTGAAGAAATATGATAAATCCTTCCATGTTGATATTTGGAAAACATTTCATGTTTATCTACGTACAACGCAGCAACATTTTTCAAGAATTAAATATCAGATCAATTTAAGTAAAAAATTTAAGCAAAAGAATCATGTTGGAAGAAGAAGAAAAAGGTCGGGTGTTAAGAACCTTGTTTAGACGTTCTTCAATAGCATTTATAGCACGAGCCTGTGCAAACTTTGAAAGGGTATAGTTGCGCTCCTTCTTGGCAGCAGATATCTCTAGAGCTAACTTTTGCTCCCTACTAGCATTCTTATAAGCTGCAGATATGAAACTTTACTCAGACAGAAACTGATAAGGTTCCACACACATATGCTGGAAGGAAGAAGGCCCAAAGCCCAATAAGTCAATAACAGTCAGCATGATTGAGGGAAGGTGCAGTGATGGCAAGGAGCAGTATGGCAAGGAGCAGTTATGGCATGGAGCAGTCATGGCAAGGATCGGTTATGGCAAGAGCAGCTATGGCAGGAGACTAACTGCCTAAATGAGAGAGAGAAAGGAGAGGATATAAGGACTGACAGAGCAGGAAGGAAGGGGAGGAAAAATCACTGTTAGTATCTCGTGGATCTACGAGAAGGGTTGGAGGGTTTTATGCGACTCTACATCTGTTCTGGGTTCTTCTACTGCTCTTATCTTTGTTATTTCTGTTCTAGAGACTGTTTTTTCATCTATTACGAATTATTCGTAGTTCTTGATCTGGGATCTTATCAGAAACCTGTTTAAAGGAGCATCAAGCTAACAACCAAATAATCTAAATAAAACTTACCAATTTCCTCAGTCAAATCATCCCATTTGAATTTGCTCAGATATTTAATGTTCCATATGTCGTAGTAGAAGGATGACCTCCTCCTTCCACCTAAAAACAAAATAAGTATCAGTTGGATACTAGGTACGAAGAAAAAAACCATAATGGGCAATCACAAAGAGCCAAGCATTAGCCATGGACAATCTCTGAAGAAAAGAAAAGAGATTACGAATACAACATAATTATATAAATGCGGTATCAAAATGCAGTTAAGCAACGGTATAAATGTGAAAAATACAAAGAACTAAATAAACTATACACGATGAAACCTGAAACACGTCTTGCAGAACGTTCTCTTCTTTATCTAGAATTCTTGTTCCATCTTTTGCTCTATTTTGGAAACCATGGGGAGAAACATGTAATTCTTCCATTTCAGTTAAATAAACATCAAGAACTACAGCTAGGAATATGCTCCACATCAACAACAGAAAAACTCAAAATAAGATTCACCAGGAATTCATGATATGGACACGATTTTAATTTAATGAAAAATTTCATCAAACTGCAATAAAAGTATAATCCAAAAAATCCAATCTGAATTGCATTGAAATCCAATCTGAATTGCATTTTAAATTTTGTCCATGACTTGCACAAGGCAGGAAATCCGATTTCTAGACAATTGCCTATGGAAATTCGGCACGAACACTTTGCAGGGAATAACCCGCAAGCAGTAAAAGAAAACAAAAACAAGTAGCTGCTTTAACATGATAGTTTTGCTAACAATGACGGCTTTAACTAGGAATCTAAAATACTCATTCACTGGTCACAGCTGAAATCTCATACTAGGAAATGGCATCTTGCCCATCATCAATACGCCTATAGCCACGGACATCTGGCACACAGGAGACCTTAAAAAGTTCACCAGCATAAACATTGTAATAGAAGTCAAACCTAGGTCCTGTAAAGGGTGAAGAACAAAGGTTTCCTAGGTGAAAGTGTTATGTCTGCAAAATATTAGTGTCATAAAATAAATGTTTAAATTAAATAATCACCATCAGCAAGTAAAAATTGTCCAGCCAAGTTATTTAAATAATAATTTTACCTTTCATTTAAAATAATATTTCAAGAATATCTTAATTTAAAATATGCTTATTTAATTTTCAAATTATAATACATAAGTTACGTTGATAAAAACTTACTAAAAATCGTGAAAAAATGTATGAGAAGATTTTTAACTCACTTTATGGTCGCAGTTTTAGAATAATAATATTTCATACGATTAGTTACATAAGACTTCAACTTATTTAATAGTACAGTCTGATTGTCCCACATCAATTGTGCAAACACTATCCATTGCTTGATCATATGATATGACCATATAACATGAATTACACTATTCAGTTTTATTTCAAACACGATTGAATAACAAACATTGATCCTTGGCATGGAGTTGGAAGCCTTAACCAAGTCTACCCAAGCAGCCTGAAATATGTACAAGACCACAGGGTGGCCCAGGTGAAAACCTAGGCCAATCCCGGATAGTAGTGAAGGAAACTAGCATAAAAAACATGATTGAACAGTAGCCAAGGAACGGAAATACAAAGAAGGATAAATCAGAGTTCCGTCGGAACCCCAAGCTGTCCACAAGCTTTCAAGACGCTCCCTCTCTCCCCTTAACATCAAAAGGCTCCATACCCTTTCCCTCCATCGAGAACCCTATTTCTGTTGCCAGTCCCCCTGGACATTTGTTAAAACCGTCCTTATGCTTATGACTTCGACTCTTTCCCCTCCTACCTTAAATAAATTGTGTTAGGTCGCATCAATACTCAACAAGGTGGCATAGATGCCTTGGGCATCCATACCACCTTCACACAAAGGACTTCCCTCAGCAACATCTTGAAAATTATGACAACGAGATTAAAAACAAGAAAACACCAAAAGATATTTGACAACCAAAATGACCAGAAGAAAAATCTAAACAACAGAACCACTAAAACACCCGCCTCAAAAAATTATGGACAGAGAAAATAATAATACAAGACTTATTGTCCATAGGTATTCAACAAAGACACTGCTATTTATTTTCTTGTAATAAAGGGATCCAAAATTAGACAAAGAATACATGAAGAATTATAAACTATGATATATCCAATACAGGAAAACTAATAAGATAGCAGCAACAACGATGATCTAAAATTTCACCCAAAGATTCTTCATATCCGATTAGGTAAATTTTTGTGATCCAAGACCTTCAAGTGGATGGGATTACTTCGAATCACACAGCTAATAAAGGGACGATGCTCTCATGTCATCTTTCCATTGCAAAGGGTAGTTGAGATTGAAAATGGCTTCCCTCAGGCAGTTCTTCATGAGAGACTTCCAGCATAATCATCATAAACTAATAATTCCAAAATAATGAAAACAGATTACCATCTTATTTTTCTTTTATGGCGGTGAAAGCACCACATTTGTCTATAAAATGTAAAACTAGAAGAACGGCAGTCCTAGAGTTTTATTAAACATGTACATGAATATGGCATAAGATGTCACACAAACATTCAACTTAATGTCCCCTCCAAAGCAGTGAGCACATGATCCCTTTTCTTCTTTCTTCCGTATGTGCAGGGTCAGTGGCACCACTTAAAAGGTCAACAGCATTTGGCGGCAGCTCTAATGAGTTGCTTACCGTATTTTTCCTTCCCTTCTTCTAGCCCATCTTCCAGTTTTCCTTTCCTCGTTTTCTACTTCAATCATCTGTCATCATCCTGCATTTTGACATTCTTCCTCTTTGGCAGCACAAGAACTGGAGAGAACATAGTAAGATAGGGGGTGATCAACTTGAAAATTAGTTGCGCTCTCTAGGATCAGCTGAATTTGGGCATATACAGTACACTAATCAAGTTAGTCAGTCCAACTTGGTCGCTTAACTAAATACTCAGGTTATCACATTTCTCCCTTCCAGCCTTCATATCAGTAGGGCAACACTAATTCCCGAAAAGATAGAAATCAGAAAACTCTGGGTGCCATGGTTATAATACACTGGAAAGTCACCTCCCCCCCTCAATTCTAATAAAAATGATGACTACGTTCCTGGATTCTTTTATAATGCTTATTTCTTTCCCACAACCCCTGCCCAATGTGTTGCCTCAAGAATTACCATCCAACACATGATCTCCAAGACAAGCATAGCAGACACCCCAGAGTCTCTCACATCTAGGTGGTTATCTTAAGGAGCATTCCACATTGAGATGCCAATTTTGGTCCACAGAAATTTCGTGTGTTGCCCTTCTAGAAAACGTTATTTCTTGAACTTGAAGCATTTTACACAAAGGTCATTCTAAATAAATGTTTGAATCTTACTTAAAAATTTATCCACATAGTCATTAAGGATACTACAGCTGATAACTTTCTTGAAGCTTCAGAAATTATAATCTCTGATGTGTTATGGGGTGACCTTGCTGTTATAAAGTCATGGGTCATCCAATATTCAAGCCCAACTAGCATGGCAAGCCTGAAATTTAATTGTATTATCTAGGCAATCAAAAGAGGTTGCTGCCACCTTCCCAAGTAGAAGACAACTACGGACTACTGCTATGAAAAACGCCAAGAACCTCGAAAAACATCAGTAACACAAAACTATTTCATGTTGCTTGATGACTCAACCAAACCTTCTTGTTCATTAAAACGGTTGAATTTTCAAAATTTATGATGAAAACTCAAGAGAACGTCTGTTACATCCAAATTCCATTATCATTTTGGAGAAATGTCCCCTAAATACCTAGTTAGTTACTCTCAGGACTAATTTGTGTCCTTAAGATACGTGTTATATCAAACACCAAGCCAGTGATAAGAAGAGCTTTTCACAAAGTTAGAGGCGCTGCAATCCAGGTAGAAGACAAAACCACAAAATCCAATTTAACAGGTATCTTAAGGGCAACCAAACGTTAAATAAACGCTAACAGTTTTAAGATTGATTACAGCCCCATACAATGCTTCATAAAACGAAAAAAGAATTAGTGAGCCATCACCAGGTAGTTCATAAGGCTTAAAATATACATACCCATCTGTTCTCCGTTGAGCATATTTGCAACCCTCTTCGCAACACCTTTCTTCGCAAATTCAACCCACCTACGAAGTTTCAATAATCACAGAGATCCCATAAACTAAAGTGGATAAAGTGTATGAAAGTCATATCATCAAGCACTTTGCTTCTATGCTGTACCCTTCAGAGAATGCTTGACCTCTGGGACCACCCGACCTTTTCCTTCGGCCCTGAGCTGCCGAGGTATCTGCCCAGGCCCAAAAAAGAGTAAGACCATAGGATATTTACTCATTCATACGCCATCTCTGCTAGCAAAATCTGGGAAAATATGATGGTTATGGTCGTGCATTACCAGAAGGGACGAGATAGATACGATCAATTTCACCGTACTGGGAGAGCATGTGTCGGAGACTGGCGGGGTCCATGTTAGGCGGGATGCGGCTAAGATAACATACCCCTCTCTTGCTGCCGTCTTCAACAGACACAATATTGCTTTTCTTCTTCTTCCTTCCATTTTCTTTCTTCGTTTCCTCCACCTTGTCTTTGGTTTCGACTTCATTTCCACCTTTTTCGTCCCGCTCACCATCGACGGCTCCGTTGAACAACTCTCGCTCCTCCTCGCTTCCTTCTTCCTCTGGTCAGGCAAGGATATCGAGTTATCATACGCTCACAAGCAGGAAAGCAGAAAAGAAAATGAGATGTTCCGAAAATCCGGAGAAACATCGAAATCCGTCAACCTGACATCGTGCAGTCCAGGAAGACTCCCAGACGAAGGTCCGCCAACTAGCTCGTCAAACCCAAAGTACAGCACACAGAGAGAGAAAGAGAGAGCAGGGTCAGCCAAAGAACGGCGGGCAGGCGGAGGGAGCGTGCTCTGTTTCATATAGTTTCCTTCAGAAAATTGGGCCGGACAGGGCCAGTTCAGCGATCCCCATTCACGTCTCCAAGTTTCATGCCTCATTCAGAAAGAACCCTCACATTTTAGAATTTTAGCATGGTGGCACATGGCTGAGGGACTTAACGGCAGTGACAGATCAAGAGGTTTGGTGCGGCGACCTCCTGGTCACCCTAGGTTTTCTAGATCAAGTTGCTCATAACATATATACCCTTCTTATGTCCAACTTTAGAAATTTCGTTCAATTTTTTAGGAACTTTTAACATAACTTGGCCCATCGGCACCTCATATGTTAGAATCATAGATCAATCTATACTTAGGTTGGGGAATGGTCAGGAGGCAGTGGTAGAGGATAATTGGAATGGTATTTTATTTTATTTTTACTTTCCAAGCTTTATCTAATCTATAAAGCTTGATTTTCCATTTTTCTTCATCCACTTTTATCACCAAATTTTAAAATTATTCCACTAAACTTTGGAGATCTTATAGGGTTTTTTGAATTATTGATACTACTAGTATGTTATGCACCATATTAGTAATATTCCTAGAAATCCCTTGAAGGCATGCTCAAATTAGAAAGTCTTTCTTCTATCTTTTCATAGGCCACTGGGAATTAGTAAGTGAATGAAAAAATAAATAAATAAATTTGGAGTTTCCTTTAAGGAAATGAGGTCAAGACTTAGTGTGTGAGAAGGGTGGTGAAAATTTATACTACATTTTTGTGCTTGTATTTGACATCAACAAAGAAAAGTGGCAACTATAAGTGATGACTTCTACAAAAGCTCTTTATTTTATTTCAGTAATTTATATTGACTCTTGTCGTTAAATCATAGATTTAACTATTTAAATGCATCTGCCTCAAGGCTCTATATGTGAAATATTTATGAAGTCTTTCCCCTTTATACAAATTCCTAATGAAATAAGAATTTTTTGCATAAGGAAAAACTAGATCTACTGAATGCAATATCACTTCATTGCCTAATATAAGTCATACCCATCTGTAATACAAATCTACATAATCTATTCATCATTTTGGAAATATTCTCTCTTGGATTTATTGGTAGCTCAAGTAGTTTGCTGATGCAAAGTTGTAAAATATAAATAACATAAATTTTGTAAAATTCTTAAGATTATATCCAATGTAAAAGATTTTATTTTTTCACTGAGATAAAAATGTGTTTTTACTAAAGAGTTTGCCTCAGATTTTTCTTGGAATGTAATGATTTGAACTCGAGCCCTAGATATTAACAAAACTATGATAGCAATCACTCTACACAAGCATTTATTAATATTTTAACAATGACTACTTGATTTGATTTTTCAATATGTAAAAGGTGCATCATGCTAAGAACCTTGAGTGCCACATAGAAGTGAAATGGGGATGCCTTTTCAATGTTCAACATTTAATATTATCAAATGTAACATAATGTTAACTAACTCAAAGATTGGGGGAGAAGTATGCACACAGCAAAGGATTAGCTCTAATATGATAACATCAAATAGGTCTTTTTTTAAAAGATTCTTAACTTGGCTCATTTTAAACCTAGTGATTTCATTTCATTGAAGTCAAGTGCATCCGTTCAACCTTTCTCATCTATAACCCCTCTCATTTTTCAGTGGGCACATCCACACCAATTTCGTCGATCCAATCTTCATGCCTTCAGGAGTAACCCAACTTGTGGTAATGAGAGAGTGATAGAGATATCTATTTTATAAATCCTCCATGGCACTCTTGTATCCCTTAAAAGGGTAATCTTCATCTACAAAAAATGACTGCCCAAGGGTCTTCTTCAACCGTCCAAATGCCCAATTGGTGGAGAGCTAAGATGACATGGCATTGCTGAATATTAATATATGAACAAGGAAACAAGGGAAAACTATGTGCCTTTAGAAAAAGATGATGAATTTTCAGATGTGATCTAATGAAACTTTTTTAGACGAAGGTCAAGAACACATAATAATAATGCATAATCTCCAAATGTTTTGAGGCTGGATCAATATGAAATGTTCACAAAATTGTGAAATCTAAATGCATGAAACTTCAAGATGCTCCCCCATAAGATACCTAGATGAAAAGAATTTCAAAACAAGAGTAGGGACTTTGAAAGTAGATGTTCTTAAAATATATAATTATATTTCTCTGAGGAAACCCTGGTTTTAGATCCCAATATAATCAAATAAAGAGATAAAAAGTAGATGTGTAACATGAGATTCTGAAAAAAAAAAGAAGGAAATTTTAATGAAAAAAATGTTTTTATCACAACAAACCTCTGTCTAGGGAAATCCTTATTTTAAAATTCTTCCCAAAATTGATTTTCATTCCCATCTTTTAGTGATATCTAGATAAATGTGGATCCCATAAAGTAAGAATTTTAGGAAAGGGCATCATTGATAAGTCAATGAAGTATTTCACAATGAATCCTATGTTACATCACTGTAGCTTAAAAGAATTCTAGATTTAAAATGATCCATAAGTTTTTCCAGTTAACAAGGGGTTTAGAGTATTCTAAGCATGATTTGAGTGTATGCACCAAAACCTTTTACTTAAACAAGCATTTAATGAGGAAGACATCTAATAATCAAGGGAATTCAAGGCACACTGAAAGAAAAAATTTGAAATTAAATTAGTTAGGAGGAAAACACTATTATGACGTTATTTGATAATCATCTCATCAAAAAAAAAAAATTACTTTGTAATTAACTATTCACAAAATGATATATGTGATGCAAAACTTAATAATGATAAATTAAGAACTCACTAAATGAATTTTAGTTTGCATGACTCAAAATTATTGAAACAAGTGAGAAATATTTTGATTTTGGAATATTAACATAAAAAGGGCTTGAAACAAAACTTCTATGAAGACTTTGCTTGTGATGTAGAACAACATGCACAAAGCCAATGAAAGCCCAAAACCGGCGGACTAGCCATTCCAGAAATGTCAAGTGTGATACATAGCAATGAGAAGACCCAAAAAGGCCCAAAATCAGATTAACCCAAACTAGAGCAACGTGGATAACATGCTTTAGCCTTAATTTCAATAATTATCCTATTTTCAAGATGTTTTTGAATTTGATTCTTAAACTAATCCTATATTTAAGGGCCACCCAGTTCATTTTCGACTCATTGAAGACCACCACATTGTAACCCTAACATTATCTTCTTTAGTACAAATTTTCTCCTTTCGAGATGACTCTTGGCTTAAGAATTCAAGCACTCCCTCTTGTAGATTCAAAAGAGTATTTTTTTTATCCTCATAGATCGAAGGATCGCTTCAGTCTTCAAAGCTTCAGGATTCCTAATCTGGTGAATTCAGGAGCTAGTTCTCAAGCCCCCAAAGTTCATGAGTCCCGGACTAGCAGCTACCCCGTGTGGTTCGCGGTGAGCAGAGAGATGGCGTCGATGAGGACCTTCACGCTATGACGGGTGTCTCTGTGGTTCTAATTTTGAGACTGGACCATTTTCAGGGCTGTGACTGTGACGTTGATAACCGCTAGACAGGGTTTGGGAAGAGACGTCTGAATGCCGCCATGGATTCGTCGCCATCCCCCGAAGGGGCTTATCCGTAACGGCAAAGATAAACTTCTCCGCCACGTTTTCCTAAATGATCACACCCCCCACCTGGGAAGCGGCCACATCATTGGGAACCAGAGCTATTCCACCGCCGCTCACTGGAAGGTCTTGTGACTTCTCCGGATAGCTCCGATGTTGAGGCTGGCGCTCCTGCCGCCCCTGGCGGTCCTCTGCTCTGAACTTCTCTTCCAGAAGCCTGTCTCCTTGGCCTTCCCCATTACCCCGCAAGATCCCCCCACGGAGCAAGAAAGTAAGCGATGATACTGCCCAAAACGGTACTCAGTTTCGATTCTGATTCTAATTTCTCAATCTTCTCGATCCTGTGGTCTCCGCTTTTCCTCGTGGCCGTTCACAATGGTGTTCCATCGGAATCTTGTCGGCTCAGTGCTTCCGAGGGTTTCTCCAGCGGACAGCCTCACTTTTTAATTCCCTTATCAGATCGACTGACCTCTGGTTTTGTACTTGCCGATTCATCCGTCGTACTCTAGCTTATTCAATGCTGGTTAGGGTTTCCCCTCGCCCAAGGGGAGTAGTAATCGTCATGCTATCCTGCAACCTGTTTGTCGAAATGCCTCTTTCTGGTGAACTGTTTAACAGGCACCACTGATCACTAAATTAATCGAAGAGATGTTCGTCGAAATTCCCAAATAATCTGAAACATGATCGAAGGAGAACCGAGGGTGTTTGATGAAATGCCTCGAGAGTGCCCAAAACGGGGATCATTGATCTGTAAACTCGCCGCAAAGATGTTGGCTGAAATGCTTCAGAGAGCGCAACTCTCCTTCACAGAGTCGGTGATCATTAAACTGATTTGAAAGATGTTTGGTGAATGCTTCGCAGTCCCCAACTCTCCTTGTTTAGAGATCGGTGATCTTCACACCACCAACCTAAAAACTGTTGAATTAGATGCCTTAGGGTACCTGATTCTGCCTCTGTTGGAATGCCCGTGTTAAACCCGTTTCCCTTGTTTACGTACAACTTCATCCCCCTGACGGCTTCTCCGCGCATGCCAGGTTCCGTGCAGTGGGCCTCCGCTCACCGCCAACGTTTTGTGATCTCCCATCCGCCAACAAACTCCTGCGTTCTCAGGGGCTCTCGGGATGCCCCGCTGATGCTGGGCTCCTGCGACAAATCAGATGCTTGGGGCTACACGCCTCAGAGGTTCTTGACAGTGAGGGGAACCTACTTCTGTCTGCAGTCCGCAGGGTCCGGCAAGCCGGCGAAGCTTGGGATAGTCTGCACTGAAGAGGACTCCAGCTGGCACCTGCTGCCCGAGGAGGAGCCAGGCCTTCTGACCTGGCTGCCCGATGGGCAGTCAGTGTGCTTGGAGGCCAACCCGGACGGCACTGTCTCCACGGGTCCATGTGGCGGCAGGGCGGGCAGGTCTGAGAGTCAGTGGTTTCAGGTGGAGCCCAAGAAGAGTTACGTGGTTGCTGAGGCTGTGCAGGGGAAGAACGAATGAAGCAATGAAATGAGGGAAGATCTCTGAAGGCTGATCCCCTAATATGGTAATAATATGCTAGAACTTTCTTGGCCGTAAGATAGTCTCTTGGCCTGTCTAAGATGTATGTGGCTCCTGAATCGTGTACCTGAGAGGAGGAGATGAAGCTCAGCATCCGAATACTGAATCATGGTCGTATGTTGAAGCAATGTGAAAACAATGTTGCACAAGCTTGAAAGATGTATGCGGTCGGTTCCTGCTTAGATTTCATCTCCATGCTTCATGTTATCTACTAATGACCATACTTAATGATTATTCATCTTTTTTATACTAGTAAGATGGTGGATTTTCTGATTTTGGGTTCCAGCGAAGTTCTCAAATTAGTAGAAAGGTCGTATGCTTGTGGGTTTCAGAGGGATTGTTAGAACACAGACCCCATCTCTCTTCCCTCTCTCACTCAAAAACAAATAGGGGGGCTTTTCAAACAGCTATTCAACTGTTTTTCTCAGACTTTATTTCATTTTTATTTGTCTTCATGATCTGGGATGATCACTTAGACCATCTGAGGAGTTTGCCGTTTGGTCCCCACATTCCTTTTGAAGTAATTTTATAAATAAAAAATATAAATCACAGAATTATTTTTTAACATAGTTTAGAACATGGATATCATACCCACTAAAAGTTATTATTCAATCCATACAAATTTGACACATTATAACCGATTCTGAAAGGCCAAGTTTGACTATCCCTTCGAATTTCTCACTTTCATCACTCAGTGAGGCTCTTTATTGCTGCGTACATAATTTTCAGCTTTGCTAAAATATAATCCATCTTATTGACTCAAACCTTCCCATCTATATAGACTCAGTCTTACTGTATTAGAATCAACCCAAAACAAACTAAAACCAAGTAGCCTTTGACGACATTGTGCTCATTCCCATCTATATAGACTCAGTCTCTCCATTTCGCCTTATATAGCCTTTGACGACATTGTGCTGTGGAAACGATCACCTAAAGATATGAAGTAAAACAGTTGGAGATAATCTAAAAAACCTTAGAATAATACTTTCTTCCTACTAAATATCACAAAATGGAGAGAAAAGGCCAAGCAAGATTTCTTCGCACAGAAGCTAAACGCTTGATATGGGAATACGTTTGGGCAGTATCAAACATACATGCTAAGGACCCCACCGCAAGCTTATATTTTACAAGCTATACAACCTTCTCCACCCAGTTTCAGACAGCACCATGTACAAGGAGAATTTACAAGGCAAGGTTTGGGCCGGAGAGCAGTAGTACCTGGAGGCGTCAATATCCGTGTAACTGGGATGCGGATGATGTCAACGGGACGTACCGCACTGATGTCTCGTCGTGGACGCTGATTGAGCCGTCCAGCTTCTTGTCCACCACCTTCAGCTCCTGGAAGATGTTGCCCACGGGGATCACCATCCTTCCACCGGGCTTCAGCTGCTGGACCAGTGGCTCAGGAAGCTCATGAGCTGCAGCCCCCACATGGATGGCATCGTAGGGCCCCAACTCGGGCCAGCCAAGCCTTCCATCTGGGCGTATGAGAATTCACATTTAGTAATTTACCCACCTCCTGGTTGAGATAAATATTTTTACCAATTTAAGAACTTGGGCCAGCCAAGATGTGCAAATTTACCCACATCTAGTTACTCTTTCCGGAGAAAATTTTAAAGAATATATGGAAATGTTATTTCCCATGACGATCCAAATTTATAGATGATCTCCTACTTACTCGAATTACCAAAATCTGACTAATAAATATCTGAACGAGCATTCACCTAAGTAAACACTAGGCGTATCGCTAATTATGAGATTGGAGTGACGGTCCATATTCTGGGAGGTACATACCGGAAGCATGTACAGAAAGGGAGCCTGCCTTCATCAACTCCGCTGCAGCACTTTTCTTGATATTTTCAACGGAAGAAGCTACTAATTCGGGAATGTGTTCTACACCCACAGAACGGCCTTGTGGACCAACCATGATGGCGAAACACGCTGTCAAATAGCCAGTTCCTGCAGGTGTCGCAAAGTAATCAAGCCAAAAGGGGAGGGAGAAGGAGGAGAATAATATTTACCAAAAGAGGCCTACATATGAGGATAGAAATACTCTTTCGTAGCATTTTATGCGGGAGGGGAATAGAAATTTACTTTTAGTGGCGAAATACAGGAGGGGAGAGGAAATCAATGTTGTCAACATATGTTGAGGATTTGTTTGAAACATATGTTGTTAACATGAAATCTTGGAAACTTAGATGCATACAATAATTTGATATGGACGTGAGCGCAAGGAGGGGAACAGCAATCGAATTCACTAGTCAAAGGGCCTATCTAGTCTCATCTATGCATATGCATGCATATAAAAATAAGCATCGTTCCCAAATGACATTCTTGGCATAAAATTTGTAATGCCAACAAGAGGTTTTTATTGCTTATTTCATCTCGAGAACAATTATAAAAGCTTTGAAAACATAGAAACTAGTTACAAAAATGTTCCTAAAACATGAGATTAAATAAATAGATGCTGAATGAAATATGATGCAATATGTAAAATAAATTCAACTCCAATCTACCTCTCTTAGAGCATTCAAAACATGGACAATAAAAGTTAACAGGCAGAAAATAAATGTGCGAACATCCTTCATCGGGAGCAAAATGGATTCAACGTCCAAGAAAGCTGGGAATTAAATGTTCGAGCGAGATGTTTGATTGATCAAGAATAAAAGAGAGGAAACATGTTTTGTAATGAGGAAAGAGGAGGTGGATACTATCTGGGTTTCCATTGCTTTTATGTAGTAAAGGTGTTCTTTAGAGCCGACTGAGCATAAACGAGTGTCTCTGTAAAATCTTAAATAAATTTGAGGTACATACATCTGATGGACTGAACACCTTTCGGGCTTTGTCCGTCCATGATATGAATCATGTTAAAACCTATTTCACGGAAACCCCGTTATCCTATCTAGCCTGTCAGAGATACCACATTACAGATTTTATAATATAAAAGAAAAATATTACATTGAAGAATAGAAACATATTAATTTAAAAAATTCCATTTTCCATATTTAGCTCATGCCAGATTTGAAAACTTGAGAACCTAAATGATTCAAGGGCAGAATAAAAATGGATAAGATAGATGTGCAAGTACTACACCTGAACCAATATCCAAGGCTCGCATTCCTGGCTGTAAGTGGTTTCTTAAAAGCTCCAGACACATGCCATGCATATGAGGTGCAGATATAGTTGCATTGTATCCGATGGGCATAGGACTGTCGATGTAGGCAGCACTTCCGTCAGGCACAAACAATCCTCGGTCAACAGTCTCCATAACTTCTGCTACCTTTTTTGACTTGATAATGCCATACTGCTGTAGATGTTCAATAAGTCCTTTGTTCTTAGAGATGGACCCTCTTGCCATGAATTGCTGAAAGTTTTCGTAAAATTAACAAATTGGTCAAATAGACATTGCCACAATAACTTAACTACAGAAAATTATTAAATCAGGATGCTCAAATTAAAAACAAAAAGGAATGGATCATCTGGTTTCAATTTCATCTCAATACAAGTCATGAATCGGGAAAATTAGCTTTTTATGGAGTTGATTTTCTTTGGGGAAGAGTTGGTTTCAACGTAGGCTGCGTGTAATAGCATGGTCTCCTTGGATCATTGCCAAGAATGCCAGGCAAAGAATGACAGAAGGTCGGACGTTTTATGGTCCTACTGAGAAGGCAGTAGGAGACATGAGCCTGGCATTGATCCCAGACGCTGCTTTGCTGTCCATGTGATTATTGCTATATTTCTACTGAATGTCTACGGATTGTTCCTCCGTTGCCCCGCTGCCTCCCTCCATTCTCTTCGTTATTAAAATTTTGAAATTCAGTAATTGAGACTTCCCAAAAGAATCCCAGCCTTGTGCACGACATTTTTCTGGGAGCCTGAATTGGATGTGAGGAAGCTGGAGACTACGAAGATCCGTGTTTCTGGTCAGTTTTTCCACAGGAAACACGTGAAGAACAGAACAACTCCTGCGACAGACGAAATGAGAAAACAATATCTGCCTACCCTAAATTATATGCCAATTCTCTCGAATTTCAGAGAGACTAATATTGTTCCTCAGATTGTGCTCTGAATCGAATCGATAATTCATAAGAACGAAGTGGAGGACGATGACGGGAAAATCGTGCAAGCAGGGCCCTAACAAAGAACGACGACAACAGAGGGCCTATGAAAACAGGAGAGGAAGAGAGCTACCTCCATTCTCTGGAAAGGATTCAATCCAGGGCCCCGCCAGCGACCACACCCGATACCGAAAGAAGAAGAAGAGGAACAAGAGGCCGCGGCAAAAACCGAGCGAGACGGACAAGAAGGCAAGAGAGGGGCATAAGAGAGGGCGGACGAGAAGGAGATGCTGCCGGCGACCACCAGGAGCACCCGATTCTTCAGAAGAGACGGTGGAGCACTGCTGCAGCGAGCACAACCGCGGGGCAGCGTTGCAGACATCTCCCTCCCCTTTAAATCTACCAGTTTACCTCGCTAGTGGCGAGAGGAACTCTCCCTCCCTCTGGCGCCGCCTCGCGGCTCTCCTCTCCATCGACAGCTGGAAGAACACAGAGCTCCCACGCTGCAGAGAACCCTCCCCAGCTCTCTTGCATACGTGCCACCACCAGGCTGAGGCAGACATGGCGGGGCCAAGCTTGGACCGTCCGCGTGTTCCAGATAAGTTAGGACACGTCACCCGAAAGGGCATCGATAAGCCGAGCCTCTCTTAGACAGGGCCCGGCCCGCTTACATGGAGCAAACATTCTGAAATAATAATTTTAAGCTCTCATTTAATTTTTTTTTTATAAAAATGACGAAAATCTTGAAGAAATCGGGTCATTAGATGAACAAGAATAAACTCGGGGGACTAATCTCAAAAAATGATGAAATCTAAAGGTATCAACTCTCTCTCTCTCTCTCTCATCCCTGCACTGCCGCACGGAGCTGTGGCAAAGGGCAAGCTGGCAAGCAAGCCCGGCTCAGATTCTCGTATAGTTTCAGAGGGCGGCGCAGTTGGTGAAGAGGAATAATCCCTTTCACAGCTGTTCTGGACACATCTCGGCGAAGGGAAGGCCTCAGAGACAGACCAGTGTTATCTGCGGCGATGAGCCTGCAGGCAGCGTGTGTAAAGGCTGCAGGAGACCAAGAGAGACACACTGAGAAGAGAGCTACCACGAAAATCAAAAGGGGAAAAATCAACGAAAGAAGGAGAGGAGCTGCAACGAGAAGGAAGATCAGTCCAGCTACACGACCACTAGAGAAGAATTCGACTCCCAAGCTCGAACCAGTCTGTTGGATTATTGTTGGCCTCCTAGAGCCCATAATGTACCAGTGAGAAGTGAAGAGCTTCTCTGATTTAGGTCAGCTGAAACTGTGAAGCCCATCAGGTGGTTGAGCCTGCAATTCTTATCGTGGTGTCTAAATAAGTACAAAAGAGGAAATAAAAGAAAAAAAGGATAAAAGTGATATCAATTCAACGCCCTCTTGATCAGTTGCTGCCGCAGTAGGATAAGGATATTGCCACAGCTTGGATTCCTGAACCCAGTAAGGGAGCATAATTACTCTATTGGTTAAGACTTTGAACAAATGTGAACATGGAATAACATAACCTTATTTTCTCTTTTAAAAAATTAAAAAAAAAGGAATGGCTAGAATTCTTTCATTTAGCTGGGAGTGGCGTGGCGTGTCTGAAACTACCACCCCATTGAACTTACTCTAATTGCTATTTATTATTTCATATTATTATCATGATCTTCAATAAAAATAATGTCAGCAATCGCCTCATCAGCCACAGTTAAAATCTTCCTAATCTTCATCATAGGCCAGAAAATTGAAAGTCTTAATGATTATGCATCTGGTCAAGGGGAGTTGACCCATATATATGAATCAGAAAGGCCTTCACTTTCTTTCTCGATGAACAACTATGACACATTCCATCAACACTAAATGGCAAAACACAGAGATATGAAGCATACATTAATTATATCAGCAAGCTAGATGCTAATCATAGAATAAATAAACAAGTTTAGACTTAAGAGATGCATATAAATACACAAAATTAAAAAATGCATTCAATAACATTATTCAGGGATATGAAACATGTATATTTGCACCAGCACAATTACCTTAAAAATCCAGAAGTAGTTGTGGAAGTACCCTCTCTAGATGTGTCGGTTCAATCTTAGTAGAGCCCTCAGCTTCAGCAATTACTGCAGCACGCTCTATGGCCTCTGTCCCATGTAAACCTCTTCTGTCAGCTCTGTGTTGATAAAAGGCAACAGAGTTCTTACCAATAAGAAATCGATTTCCTGTGCAGTACCAGTGACGAAGATTCGAACGAGTTCACAGCTGACCTTCAGAGCATTTGGATTAGCTGCATAAACTCAGGATTAACCTTGGTGGCATCAATGCTGATATGTACAAAGCTAAGATATATGTGCATTACAAACGCGGATTAAGAGTGAAACTATCTATTTAAAACACAGAACAGAAAATTAAGATCTCCTGTTGACTTAGTAAATAATTCAATCATCAAAGATTGACTAATTTTCCTTTAAATGATGGTGTAGGCATGAACAATCAACTATAAGAGCACCTGTGTCCTTCACTCGCGTTTCACAATCTTGAAGAAATAGTGGGTGCATGCCAAGGAATATTAGGAGCCGCAAGAAAAATACAGTGGCCACTGAATCTTCAAAAAGGAAAATAATCTCACAACGCATCAAAGGAGAATAGAAATGCACCTGGGATTAATGGAAGGATGAACACAATTTAAATTCGTGTCAAAAACCCTAAGATAAGGTGTAGTAGATAGAAATTGCAAAAGGAAAGTTACATTCGGAGCAGATTAAGTCAGCGCTCCTTCAGACATAATGCGAGTGGCTATCTACTCATTATCCTCAGGCAATCTATGATCACCCTGAAAGATAAATCAGAGTGATCCAGTTATATGAGAAAATATTAAAAAGGCAAGGGAATGGGGTCATGCCCTGCACTGAACCAGAGAACATCGACTTTTCCCTACATACGTACTCTTCATTTGGTATATTTTTCTTCGATAACGAAAATGTTATTCCAAATAGGGTTAAAAGTTAATAGTCATATTCAGCATCAACAAATTAGCCGCTTCAAAGGGAAAAAAAAATGCAAGAAAAACCGTGGGAAAAACGCATAATTAGGAGTCAGTTTCTGCTGGTCAGTTTACTTGCTGAGAGCAGTTTCCTAGTTTGTCAATTTCCTAGTCTGTTATTTTCCTAGTTTGTCAGTTCCCAAGTTTGCTATTTTCCTAGTTTGTCAGTGTCCTTAACCTAGGCAGTTTACGTTTTTTCTGGCCAGGGTATTTGTATATAACTAGCGATTATTCTATGATTTGAGTTTTAAAAGAGATTTTTCCCAACTGTTTATCCATGCATGGTTTGCATAAAAAACAATTGCAAAGATTTTCCACTGATTTCTGATAGGATTGTGCAAGCTAATGTCCATTGACAAAAGAAGAGGGAAGGTATATGTGAACTTATGAGCCACACCTCTACAAAACCTGTAGGTGTCTCATGACTGTATCTTGATTTAAAACTCTCACATCAGTTTTGCCACTTGTACTGTTGAATCTCAAACCCTCATTGATCAACAATTTTGATGCGCCAAAATATTTCCAATAAGAATTTTACATTTAAATCTTGTATTTGTATCTATGGTCAATGAATTTGCAGATAAAAAGAGAAATGTATTTAGTCAGCATGATGGTTTGCAGTCTTCAATCGAACATAGAATTTATTGGCAACCCATCAACATGGGTCTGCAACATGACCATGAATTTCAAAACAACACAAAAAGAGTTGACTCTGGTGTTGACTCAAGGTATCTATTAGATTGAAAGCTTCAATAACCCTTTGAAAGTGTTGATCCTCATCATGAAAGGAACTAAAATTAGAAACAAAATGTGAGATTAATAATTACTTTTAAAGTCGAGAAAGATGTTCTTAATTCAAGATTAAACCCTCATTTTAAGCTCACACAAAACTTTCTGCAGAGAAGAACACAGACTCCAGCAATCTAAGCTCTTCAAAGTTCAAGTAACTCTCTCCGTTTCTCAAGAACAAGAGTGAACCCCTAGAAGTCTCAATGGGTCAAACTCCACAAAAGGATTGGGAAAACTTCCAATAAACTAATGCAACTTGTATAATGTCTCCAGGTTTCGGAAGTTGTTTCTTTATTTTTTCTCTTTACTAATTTTATGTAAGATCAAGCTTCCTACTGAATAAGGCATTGTTGGTTAGTAATTTGGCTCACCTAAAGGATATTTTGAAAGTATCCATGGCATAGGACTAGATAACTATTGTGCAGTTGACCCCTTTGTTGAATCGCGACTGAAACTGTATGCATATTTTAAAATTTTAAAAATAATATTTTTTCCGTATTCAAATCACCCTTTCCCTCTACACCAATTTGACAAATCAAAAACATATCCGCAGTTGTCCCAACCTGTTAGGCCCCCAGTGGTTCTAACCTACTCGCGGCACAGGAGAAAGAACCCATCAGTCCTGTCGGCCATGACAGCAGAAGACCAAAGAGCTCCAACCACACGAGAAGATGGAGCAATTAGAGAAAAGGGTAAATATGTCTCTGTGATGCAAGGAGGTTGGGGTATTAGGGCCACAAAGGAGGAAGATGGGGGGAGATCGAGGGGTAATCTAGGGCAGCTGCGGCTGAGGGAGAGCAGGGGCCTCTCATGCGTCTCCACCAGCCCTAGGGTTCCTTGGAGCCCAGCTACACTTCATATTATTGACCTTCAACTTTTCCATTTCTATTTCCATATTCCTGTTCCCCTCTCCTGTCCAGATCCAGTGTCCTAACACAATCCAACTTAAAAAGACATGGATATAAGATTTTTGATCAACTACATGAGCACCGAATAATGCCTTCCCCTTTGAATAAGCATTCTAACTCTGAAAATAGCAAATATAAAGCCAAAGGTACAATAGGACCTCTGGGTTGGATCAAACCAAAGATGCCCAATTTCAAATGAACTCAATATCTTATAAGAATCCATGGGTACAATTTCTTTAATATTTTCGTGACATACCTGAGAAAAAAATAGATCGCAATAATTTTCAAATTCCATGAAGGGGATACTTCATGGATAGAGTTCGCTAAAAATTTGGATGTTTGCAAAGAATGCCATGAATATTTCAGCATCACATAAGCACATTAATTACATGCTCAGTTATGACAGGGAATTCGTAGGAGTTAGGGAGATACGGGCTGCTTGATTGGCTTTTGTCATGTCATAAGACAGAAATCGAGACTAAATTCAATAAACAACAATACTGGCTCAAGTTTAATACTATTAACCTGAAAAAGAAAGATGTTACACAAACCGGCATCAAAATGTCATTGTCTCAGTTATAACAAGGAGTGCCATTGTCTCTAAGCCTTTTGTTCCCCAAGAAATTGCACATGCATAAGCACATGCACTACGTAAGAAAAAAATGTGCATCATACAAGAAAAATTGCAGTGATTAGAATTGACTTCCAACGGATCATTATGCATCAAGAAGGAATATAAATGTTAAACTAATGCCTAAAGTAAAGTAATACAATTGTGAACGAGATAGAGTAAACTGCAAATGGAAAACGGAATGAACTTATCAAATTGAATTTCTAGATTCACTTAGGCTTCAAAAAGATATGAACATTATAAGTCAGTAGGGAACCTATAACTCTTTCATTTCCCATTTAGTGACAAAGAAGGCCAGAATACCTGTAGTTTGTCGGCTTTTCTTTGATGTTCCAGCTGCCACCTACCACAACATGAAAGACCTTTTTTGAGAAATATATTTGAAAGCAATTCAGAAGGTCCAACAAAAAAATTGTTGAAGAGATAACATTTGAAAGTGCATGAACGGTATCTAACTAGCTCCTCTAAGGAAGATTTTCAAATTTCAGATAACCAATGATCTTTCAGAGGGCATTAAACTTACAGAAGGGCATAGCACAGCGATTTGCATTGACCAACAAAGATAAAAAATTCCTATTCATAGCATTTTACATCTTGACTGACTCGGCTACCATTCAAAAATAAATCAATGTGACTCTGCTGATCATACAAATATTCTATCAGCAGGGGTAGCCTTCCAAAACGTTTATCGCATCACAGTAGTGTGAAATAGGGACTTAGAGAGGCAGAATCATATCAAGATATAACACCTTCGATTCTTAACCAATGTTGGGGCTAGTTCATTCAGTTTTAGGAAGTCTCTATATGAAGATCCCAAGTTCTTTTGGCCATTCATGCCTTTAAATGTAAATTTCTAAATTTAATGCCCATATTGGCATATGTCAATCATTCTAGATAAGGATAATGCTGTTCCAGGCAGCATGACCCATGATATTGAATCATGATTTTGTTGAAGTCAAAATGCTACCCATAGAGTTGTGAACAAATCCATGTCTAGAACAACAAAGGGTAGAGGGCATCGTAAAAAAGGACTTAGGGCCAGCAAAAGCCCTAGATTTGATTGGGAAACTGACATTAAACATTTGCATATTTCTGCCAATTCTGCTATGTATCAAGTGTCCATAAGGACATACATCCAATGAACACAGACCATTTGAACACACTTTCCATTGCATGGAAATGAATCACACCTCGGTTTGGTAAATGTTAATGAACAGTTTCTCATAGTTAAGCCACACTTAGTCTAAAAGCAGTCACATCAGTCAAAATCTTCATTAATTCTTGGGGAAATGCTGAACTCCTTCTAGTTTACCCATCTCACTTATTCTCTCGAGAATATCAATGATAATTTTCATAGAAATGTTAACCTGAAGCCACTGCAAGTCAATCTTCCATTTTGGAGCATTGCCTGATCTGATCCAATGGTTCACCATCAAACCTTCATGTTTACTGACCCAAAGCTCCCATTAATTCTAATTCTGTTGCCAAAGCTGTTGTACAGTGATAGAAAAACACTTCTGGCTCGACCTTATTTTCAACATGCTGAAGGTAAATCACGTTACCAGAAATCCAAAGATTTGTTTGTTTTGAAACATAACCCATCTATAGTAATTTCGGGTTATTACAAGAGTTATGTCTGTCTTTCATCCTCTCTTGCTTTATGCTAAACCAACCATGAGCGCTTAGCAGTGAAAGTATAATATTTTTAGCCTTTTATCCTAAATATTTTCAACATTTTCCAGAAGAAGTTAAAAATGTTGGGAGGATTTTCCAAATAAGAAAAAAAAAATTCTAGAAGTTTGAGGAACACAAAAGCAGCTAAAAGCAATGCAGCTGATCCTTTTTGAAGCCTTAAATGATACTTTCTCACCAAAGCAGGTAAATGAGCAAGAATTAGACTTTTCCAACCGATACTCAGTGGAATAGGGCCATATGATATTGACCTATCTTCTTCAAATGCGGAATTATTTATAGATTTGCCTCTTCACATCCAGATCAACTTCTATAATGTGGTGAACAAACACAAATTTTGTGATTCAGAAGCATATCATAAATGTCCATAAAGCTGTTCAACTAAAAACTAGCCCCTAACAAAAAGAATCAGCCCATATTTTCACGCATACTTTAACTTATCCAGTAAAAATTTGCACCATACTAATTATATTGCACGGTAAGCAAGAAATTATACTTCATCATCATTGATTATTCCTGTATCACCGTTCTTCTCAGACTTCTTGCTCCATACTAACTTGAAAACGGAGTGCATCAATTCCTGTGGAATGCCAGAAAATTAAAACTGAGCGCCAGTATGGAGAGAAAGAGCAAGACAGGAAGAGGGACAGAGAGAGTGAACCCACTGACTGGATCAAAAGAGAGATCCTCCATTTGAATATCATGTGTTGTATAGGTGGAGTGGGCTAACAGCGGCAACCAGAAAGTGAAAAGCTTCAGAAATGAGAGGTCTCTTGTCACCCACAGCGATAGGTACTGGCAGGACAGAGTAATCAGGTCAATCCCAACCAGATCAAAGGACCAGGCCAAACAAAGTGGCACAGGCTCTTCAACTTAATTTGCAGGATGATGGCTACCATTCAATTTTCACCTTCCACTGCGTATAAGTAAGCAGAGATGTGAGGGAAAGATTCCATACTCTAAACTAATAAATGCATTCATTGTGTTCGAATTTTATAAAAAAATTATTAATACCTAAAATTTCGTATAAAGTAGAAATACTACCAAAAGGTGACATTTCAGCAGACTGGATACACCGTAACCTGAAACAAGGACCAAAACAATGTTAAACCTAAACTTTAAGCAGAAAAAAACCCAGTCTCTATCTGGGCCAAAACCTAGCTTGGAAATGTTCGCTCCCCAGTTTCGTGCATAGAACAAAGAATAAAAGTGAAAACAAGGCAGCATTTCTCTCCCTTTGAGCCCTCAGTGGATCGAAGATCTCAGTTGATAGACTATTGTATACATTAAATGATAACACATCATATTTTTCTCATGTAACTAGAAAAGTAGTTAATCTTCAGAGCTCAACATGTCTCTTTAGTCCTCCTTGAATCCCTCAGATACAATGAGAGGAAAACATGATCACCAAGAGATGTCCTAACATAGATTTATAAACTGTGTGGAATGCAAGAACTTCATCAGCTCACCAATTACTTCTTAGTACAAAAAAAGGAGGCATCACATCTAAATCTTCAAATGAACGACCGACATGGTCTGAACATAAAGCCATTTGATCCAGCTTTGCTCTTGATTGGGACAATTTAGCGTACCTTTTTCCTAACCTTGCTTTAATGCCACTGTTTTTCATAGGCACCTTCCCATTTCTTCTCTCAAGGCCATATCATGAAGCCCAGCTTAATGAGAGAAAGTGTCAACAAAGCATCATTGAAGACATCTAGTAAGTATTGAATCAATACAGTTCAAATAATCCAACTATGATTTGAATCCAGAGTGAACTTGTTCATCTACTACAATATCTCGATCATCACTGCATCATATTCATATTAAGAAAGACTCTCACAATAATACAAGGTGGTCAAACTTACAGTGGAAACTCCGCCAAACTCTTGGGAGCTAATCTTTGGAGGATGGGAGGAGTTCTTTGATCCAATAGGCACCTTCTTATCTTAGCATTCCGAACACGTTATATACTAGCATGAGCAAAATTATGAATCATGTATTAATATCATGAAAACATTTAAAAGGAATGAATAATTATTCAGCAGCCATTCTCGATATAGATGTCAACATGCAGAAAACTTTCCTTTAGCATAAGAAAAAATCCAAATAGTAATTAGGAATCATACATGACCTAACCCTAAGTGAAAGCATTACCAGCAACAACATCATGTATTGTTCCTTGCCTTTGGCATCTTCATGTGGCATCTAATGCCCTGATGACTTATACTTCTTTTCATTTAGAACATAGATTTAAACCTTTTTAGCGCCCAAATTAGGAACTGGAAGGCGATGCATCAATCACAACGTCAAAAATGCAATATAGAATCTTCATTGGTCAAAGAATGTCGCACAACTCTACTTTATCTAGAATCCTATGCAAATATGGAGCTTATATCTCTCCCAACATGGATCTGTCACACTGTCCACTTAACTTTTCAGTGACCAATGGCATACATCCTTAGCAATAAAATTCTTCATTTTAGACAAATAAACTATAAAACCGAAGCCCTAATTGAATGAATCCTTTTATAAATGCTGAGTAGAAACTTTTTCAGAAAAATATAAATAAATACTCCTCAAAGTATTAAACGAAATTAAGAAATTATTTTTATTGAACTATTAACTATGGGTTAATGCCTTCGACAGAGGCATGTATACAGTAGGTCTATACAAAATAGCATGTTGAATGGGAATTAAAGTGGCATGTCCATAGGTTGACCCTTCTGATTATGGTATGTCAACAGGGCTCCAGATGAATCCAAGGATCGTGGCTCAGTCATTCAAACTGAACCCATTAATCATCGGTTTTTTCCAGCATTCTCCACTTAGTCACAACTTGGGCTCACTGGCCCGGGGCCCACATTCTCTACTTCTAGCAACCATGGCCTATCGCCGGCTAATGCCTAGAGATAAACTATTGCCTGACCCTCGTCTGGGAAATGACAACCCTTGCTCTTCCTGACGCCTTGCCAGGCCTTACAATGCCCACCGTGAGAGAGTGTGGCAGCCAGCCCGTAGTCGATGATCTCACAAGACGCCACTAGCCAATTACAACCATTTTGGCTGACCTGAGAGCCTAGGTATCATATGCGGAAAACACCCGCAGCGCGACAGCCCCATGTCCCATTCCTGGCAGATCCGACCAGCGGTCGCGTAGGGATGCGTGCCCGGGGAAGGAGCCCTCTAGCAGGCAGCACAGCCCCAATAACCCCTATCAACTATGATAACGCATGCCCCAATTGGAAAAATGGAAGAGGGGATAGAAGCTAACCAGCTAGAGCACCGAATTCCTCTCCCTCTCTTCACTAAGGCAGCTTCCAACACCCACAGCAGTAGTCGAAGCAACAGACGGCTCCTCTTGCTAAGACAGGAGGCAGGACCCGTCAGAGACTATCTGCCACAACCGGGCGGAGATGAATAGAGAAGACTTTAGGTGACCGCACGAGGAGAAGGTCGATGGCGCCCTCTTTTTGAGCTCCCTCCAACTGGAGACACCACACCAGCAAACGTTCCTTCTGCTTCCGCTAGTGAGCATACGAAATTAAGGTTTTGCCGTCATGCAGGATCAGCTCCATCGGCTTCTTTCCTTGGTATACTATAATTAAATATAAGCCCCTAGTTTTTTTATTTGTACATACATTCTTTTTCAACATAATTCATTTTTACAGATGTGTTCTTTTCCTTCCATTTCATTTTTAGCCCTTGGTGATTTTTGTAAATATACCCTTTTACAACTCTGTACTTCCTTTCAATGGGCGTAGCTAGGGCTTTTTCCAGTCTGTCTTGTGCACTGCATATATTTAATTAAAATATAAACCCATATTTATTTACATATTTTTGTTTATATTTCATTTTTTGAAAGTATGTGTAAATATACCCCTTTATGGGTGTACCTTTGCCATTAGGCCGCCCAGCCTCTCTCATTCTTGTTTAAGATGCTCTACATAAAAACTTTAAACTAAGGTATTAACCGGTATATTTTCAATTTATGTAGAGCCATATTCATTCGCAGTTTAAAGTTGTTTGTGGTTGTACCCTCTATTTCCTATGGCACAAGCTACAATAGACAGATACACAATAGAAATCTTTGAAAAAAAATATCCCTAAAATATTACTAAATGACCCCCCAACTTTAATTCTATGTATCTGATCAATTTCCAAAAAATCACAAATTAATAAATTTCTACTCTTATAACACAAGATTAACTGAAATTTAATGAAAAATAAAATAAAAAATTTATATTATAAACATATTCAACAAACATATTCTCTTAGAAAATTCTTGAATATATTATAAATGTTATAATCTGTTTTATATAATTTATTCATAAAATTTTATAGCTATTTTCTTATAATGTTTTGCATTTTATTCATAACAATACAAGAATCGATTCAAGAGAGAGAGAGAGAGAGAGCTGGAGAAAGATAAACCCATAGTGCTACATCACAAAACAGAGAAGGGTGAAAACTTTATTACTTCAAAATCACCCATTGAAATATTGGAGACAATTTTCTAGTTACTTTAACAATAAAAAAAACAGAAAATCAATAATGATCATGATGTAAGGAATCAAATCAATGTCTCCATCTCAAACTTTAAAGTTCTACTCTCTACAAATTACTTCTATAGTCATAGGCCATCAAATTATAGGAGCGTTGTCTTGTTCTTAACTTATTCTTGATTTACAACTAAGCATGTCTAGTACTTAGGCCAACATAGACCCATGAATCTAAGGGAGATTAACTATGATTTCCACACAAGAGTAATGAATATAGGAGAATTTCCAGAAAAAACAAGTCAGCTGGACCCATGTGATCTCCCTTAGATTCACATGGCTCCAGCTAACTTGTTTTTTCTGAGTTTAAGTTCCATATTTTGAGTTGAGATTAAGAGTAGAAAAAGAAATTCAGTTCGCCTCTTCCCTTCTTGGTTCCTCTTGTAGCATTATTAAAACCAGTGCATGTGATCAATGTAATGTGTCAAACATTAATCACAAGAAATATTAAGAAATATTTTTCGCAATGTGGCAGCTAAATGATGCAACTTGGTTGTATCCACATACATAGTGAGACTGTTGACACCTTATTCATTAGGTACTTGCTTTAAGAAGGATTTCTTTGTAACGATATGACATACTTGTCGTTTCGCTTAGAATTTCCATTTTAAAGTATTAAGCTGAGATGCATGTTTTAATCTAAAAAGGTGAAATGAAGGGGAATAAATCAGCTAGAGTCTGTATCCCATTTTCACATAAGCACCCCAATATTAAAAAACTAAGGTGAGCTTAGATTCTTTGCTTACCACAAATTTTCAAAGCTTTTGTTTGCTAAAAATCTAGACATTATGAAAAAAAATATGTTATCATTTTGTGTCTCCTAGTGAAATCCTTAGTGGCATCAAATTAGTACAATTTACATGAAAGTTAGTTAAATTTAGAGGAAGGGAGGTGCTATTCTCATCATGATTTCCACACATGTTCTAGGCAACCCTTATCAAGAAAAGTCACCAAAAGAGTGTAAGATGCTTTCATGACACATTACAAGGTTTTTTACATCATCATTATAATTTTTTCATTGGGGATTTCTTCAAAGAAAGATTTTCAGTGATAAATAGGTATATGTGAAAGGTATTTATCTATTTGACAAAAAATGAGTCAACAATGAACATGATATTGTCATTTTGTATCCTTTGTCATGCATTATTACCATGATATAACCCCCTTCACACAATTTGACCTTTGAGATTCTAATGCAAACACAAGTCAAACCAATGAGTTCAGCCATGGGGTAGGAATCAACTTCTATTATCACATTAAAACCATTGACTTTTCCAATGCAAATCCTACCATAATTACTCACTAACTTAAATTGTATTTAGATATGTCATTTTATAAATTCGGAGACATTTCCTCTCTAAATGTATGATATCCACCATTTCCTCTTTTGATCAAAATTTTCCAACTAAACAAAAGAAGGTAACTATAGCACACAAGAAGGAGATACATTACTAAATTGTTTACAAATATATAAATGGAAACCATGAAAAAACCAACATACATTATGTACATAGAGAGAAATTCAGCATTATTGCCCAATGGTTTTTCAGGCGTGGACTTAGTTGGGTAGAGAAGAAAGGTTTTACTTGTGACATCATCTCCTACAATCAATCACATGGACCTATCTCTCTCTCCCTAGCTTTATCTCTCTACAAAGAAATAACTTTTATCTATTTCTATGAGAACACACTTAACAGTAGACCATCATAGACCTCGTATTGCAAGATTTTCTCTTAAGCTAGATTGAAGTGTAGAGCTTGTAGAAACTTTACGGAGTTTGAGCTCATCTTGTGATGGTTTGACTTCATAAAACAAGTAATAAAAGTTCCCATTTCCTAAAAATAAATTCCATGGTTAAAATAGTTATAACTGTGTGAATATAATTTATTTACTCTACTTATACTAATCATTTTAAATATTATGAAGGCATAATATTATTCTAAAATAGACCTATGTTAAGATTATACAAAATTAAAAGGTACATGTTTACGATAAATATTTATTCTACTCAATTAATAATTTATTTGAAAATTTTAATTCATAATATAATATATTAGGATTCTAAAATAAAAGGCTCAATCATTTCTGATGACAGATACTTATTTTGATCTTTTTTGTCAGTGTAGGAATACGTAAGTGAAAATATATATGGAGGCGATTCGTGGGATATGGGATTTAGAAATCCCCGTAACCAAACGTTCGAAACGGATATTTAGGATCTCTGAGACACCCCTAAACCCCAGAGCCCGGAACACAAATATAGCCGCTGCGTTGCCATCGAGCCCTGTCTCTCTTTCTCTCTCCATGGCTACTCTTCTCCAGAAGCTCGTCAAGAGGGCGCCCCCCTTCAATTCATTGCGACTCCTCACATCCATCGATATTCCCCAGCTACCTTGTAGCTCTACCGTTCTTCATTCTCTCCGCCGAGAGTCGGATCACGGGACTGGCCGGAGTCGTCATTCTGGCCTTCCTCTAGATTGGGGAGGCGCAGATCATCCTTGCTCTATGCAGCACGCCCACCTGATTTTCCCTACCTTCCTTCATGTGCAGCATTTGGAGCCCATTCATCAGCATTGTGGTGTTGATGGCGATGGGGAGTGTGACGAGGGGAGCGCCGTGGATGATCGGACTCTCTGGGCGGACAGCGTGAAGAAGAAGAGGAAGAGAAAGATGAACAAACATAAGCTTCGGAAGTTGAGGCGGCAACTCCGCCGAAAGACAAAGACCTAGCGATAAGAAAACGGATCAACCCGGTGAGATGGTTCTCTGCCGGAGTCGCTCACCTTTTCTTCCCCATTGCACTTTTCTGTGACCTTACTTAGATCATGGCTGAGATAAATGACTGTCGATTTCGTCTCCTGGGAGAGCTGGCGCATTCTGGCTAGTTTATTGATTTTCCCGGCTGCTGACTTTTGAGAGATCGTGTAATATACTTCAGGTCATCCCATTGAAACAGTTATTTTCGGGGAATTATACATTCACTGGGGTTGACCTTGTCGATTGCCTCTTCTTTATATACTGAATGCTATTGCTTCAGCTATTTCATTATGCTTGTTTTTGGGTAAACTTTGTCTCAATTTTATATCCTTGCCATAGAGCGATTCTAGGTGAAAGATGTGCCCAGCTTCACCTTTGCCTCTCGTTTTTCGCCTGTTTTCTGTCATGTTGGCTGTGACTCCTTGTTCCTTGTCCTCTGGCGATGTTGCAAGCAGCTGAAAGGGAGAGATCTGCATCTTTTCAGCCGAAGCAACTGTGATAATCCGACTCCTCTGAACGAAGAACAAGGTTTCTGGGTGGCTGTCAAATATGAAACAATTGAGGGCTCATAGTTTACTGGCAGTTTTGTGAAGTGAATCATGCTGGAACAACGTGCTTTTGTCATAGCTCCAGGAAGTACTCGTTTTGCTAAACAATGGAGTGTTCAACCCCCAGTGGCTTCCCAGGGAAATCTGGTTCGATCCTAAGTTTTAGGCCTCTTTAGGAATAGCATTGTGGAAGAAGGATAAGATTTCACATAAAATTCTCTTTCACTTATTCGGGAAATCCTCTTTCTTGTATAAGATCGAGCTGGAGCGGTGTAATATGCCTTGCTCATGCCCATGCCCTCTTTCTTGTATGTTTCTGCCTGGGGGTTAGTGATGCTCGACGCCCATCACATCCTTTTACTAGAGGATCAGGATCTCCAATTTCTGTATTGTGAAAGACAAAGGGCTGACCACTTTTTTTATCTCTTGAGGATTGCATACGGCCTTTTCTTCTTTATAATTAAGAGAAATTCTGTCTTCATTATGGTCTGGCAGAGCGCTGGCGTCTGACTTAAGATATGTCAGTTTTTGACTACATCCACCGGATAACATCCTCTTCCGTATGTGGGGGCTCTCCCATCTTCTTGGGTGGATAATCGATCATCTTTCACTTTCACAGTGAGGTTCTCTTTCTTTTTATTTTTATTTTCTTTCCTTTAACTGCTAGTCTGGTCAAGAATAATAATCGAACTGGGGGAGCAAGAGGGGGAGCGGCTGAAACAGTCCCTAGGTAACCCACCAACCATCCATCATATCAAATAAGTAATTTTCCTGTTTGGTAAATCTGCCAAGGGCTATGGTCGTAGTGATAGGCGCCCAGTCCTATCTTCTTTCTTTCTGAGTTCAGTGACAGCCCATAAGACATTATCCAAGATTGCCAGATTGAGTTCCGATGTCCAAGAGCTAGTCGTCTCTCCCACAGGGAAAAGAGCATACAAGGACTAACAGAACTTGGGGACTGGATTTCTTGACCAGTTAGCAACCGATGAAGCATATGAGTTATGACTCCTTCGTTCTCCTATCTTCTCTGTGATCTGTTTTACTGGAGCAAAAATCTGCTGCGAACAGGACTCAACAAAATCTGAACCTGCCGCAAGAACCTGTAGCAGCAGGACAAAAATATCTGTTTTTGCAGCAGCCAGCCCCACAGTCATATTTTTCCTGCATGCCTCAGACACCTATATCGTCTCTCACAAAGTTGACATAGAGGGGTTCAGTTTTTGCCATTGGAAGGGATGCTGGAAGGACCGTCCCAGGGTGAACAAAAGTCAAAGCCTTCCCCAACCCAGCCCTGGCCACCCTGATGGTAAGAGCTTTTAGTCAATGGAGTCCCGCCATGAAAGGAACCAGCTTAATCTCATACAAAAGCAAGCTTGCTTATAGATAATTCTGTTGACTTCCATTCAGCATGAGGCCTTTCTTTCTACAAGTGGAAACATTTATGCTTCTAGCTGGAATCTCATTAAAAGTGGGATCATTTGATTGGCAGGCGAAGGAAAATTTGTTTGCAGTGGAAATCCAATGGAAGTCGCAACCTCTCTAAGTGGTCAAACAAGTCGAAATAAATAGAATAAATCAGACATGAGGTCACTAGGAATGCCGTGAACGGTGGTCAACCGGAAGAGGAGCGGTTTGACAGTGATGGAGGTCAACGAGTTTATGGAGCATCAGATCGACCAGACTGAGGAAATAACAATGGCTCGAGATCATCCTGTTCGTCGGGAACTGAAGAAGGAGAAAACGGGAGGATACCTACAGACTGAAGCATATTGGGAAATGAAATGAAGCAAACGAAGTGCTGACTAGTCTGGCCAGTACATTGTTCATCAATAGCTCACTGAAGTGTTTTTTTCCCTGTCTTCCTCCAGTTGCTGTGGGGCTAGGGGAGAGATCTGCCCTGGGAGCTCGGCGGTCGACGCGATGAACATGGACGAACTTGGAAGGTACTTGGCCAAAGGATTAGCGTCTGTGGCCTAACAGAAGATGCGAGGGAGTGATGGTCAACCCTTGGTCTACATCTTGCTTGCTCGTGAGCCCTCTTGGTTGGATGGTTGACTCCCACCGCCTACAGATTTTGAACAGTTCCGAGAATCTTTGCCCATCCATGCTTCCTCTACCGAGTAGTATTGGGGAATTAGAAGGGGGAGAGAGTGGTAGGCAGAGGAAGAGAGAGAGAGAGAGAGAAAGAGTATTTATTGCAAAAGTAAATCAGAAGTATAGAAGTAGCCAATCAGGAAGCGACACGCGAAACTTTTCTGAGGCCATAGTCTCCTGTTTGTACCCTGTTTCCGAGCGTGGATACCTGAGCCCTGGGTGGGCGGACGTTGACCGTCAGATTCCCCCAGACGGCAGCGACGACTGGTCTCTTGACAGAATCGGGGGAACCGATACGATGACGTTGACGTCGGATCCCTCTCCTAAAATAGTGTTTATTATATATTTTATGTCGCGAAATAAGAATCTAATTTATATTGCCTTTAAAATACCGCAGGTTCTATCGTGGAAGATCAGCGGGTCAAACCCATTTCCATCTGTGATCAAACTTCAGTCAACTCCGCCGGAAAAACGGCCATGGGCCGTTAGCATCTCTGCACGTAGAATTGGCCGGTTGAAAATTCAAAGAAAAATAAGCACTTATCACGCTTCAACGTAGTTCCTCTGGACGACGGCGGCATCAACGGATGCCCATCGGACATGAATGGATACTCTCTCTCTCTCTCTCTCTCTCTCTCTCTCTCTTGACTAGAGAGAGAAAGAGAGAGGGAGACGCGCCTATTGATGGTACGTTCCTTCCCGATGAGCCATTAATAGGAAGGTGGGGGAAAAGGCTGGCGGAGGCCCAAGTCGTCGTAAGAGCAACCCACATGGGTTTCTCCTACGTTGCCCGGACAAGAGATATCCTAAAGCGAGGTCCTTGTACGTTCGTCGGCTCATCTATTAGTAACGGGCTGCGACGCTTAATGCCTTCAAAGCAAGCACCGAGAAACAGAGACAGAGTAAGAGAGAGAGAGAGAGAGAGAGAGAATAATGCAATGCATGTGGAGCAAGGCACAACGGGGTCAGTGAGACTGGTGAGACGCCAGGCTTCCAACTTGGCACGCGCGAAATAATATCCTCTCGAATTACTGGGGGTTTCTTTTATGGTCGTCATAGAGTCTATCCCATAAACTTGCTATTTTCGCAAGTGTCTCGCGTTGCCGAATAGGTAATCGGCGGGAAGCTCCTTACACAAAACAGGCAAGCCAGTGAAGAACGGCAGTCCTTCTCTCTCTCCGTTTCTCTGCGTGTCGGAGAGCAAGAAGAATGTTATTAATGGCGGCGGGTTCATGGAGTGAAGGTTGAGGGAGGAGGAGGAGGCGATGGAGTGGGTGAGGGGAGAGGTGGTGGGCAGGGGCAGCTTCTCCACCGTGAACCTGGCGGCGGTTCGCCGGAAGCACGAAGACCCGCCGGAGTTGATGGCCGTCAAGTCCTCTCTCCTCTCGGAGTCCTCCATGTTGATACGGGAGAAGGAGATCCTCGACGAGCTCGCCGGATGCCCGGAGATCGTCCTCTGCCGCGGAGACGAGGTGACCGTCGAGTCCGACGGCCGGCGGTTGTACAACCTCTTCCTGGAGTACGTGGCGGGGGGCCCTCTCTCGGAGCTCTGTCGGGGGAGGGCGATGGCGGCGCACGACGTCCGCCGCTACGCGAGGTCCATCCTCAGGGGGCTCCGGCGGGTCCACTGCGCAGGGTACGTCCACTGCGACGTGAAGCCGGAGAATGTGCTCGTCGCCGGCGCCGGAGCGGCGAAGATCGCTGACTTCGGGCTCGCGAAGCGCGCCGGAGAGGCGGCCAGCGGGGGTGGGGGGCAGCTGCGGGGGACGCCGCTGTACATGGCGCCGGAGGCGGTGGCGAGGGGGGAGCAGGAGCCGCCGTCGGATATCTGGTCGTTCGGGTGCGTGGTGGCGGAGATGGCGACGGGGGAGCCGTCGCGGCGGCGCCGGGCGGGCGAGGACCCCGCGGCGCTGCTCTTCCGCATCATCTCCGGCTGGGACCGGCCGGAGATTCCCGCGGAGCTGCCGGAGGAGGGGAGGGACTTTGTATGCAGATGCTTTGCCAGAGATCCCAGAGAGAGGTGGACGGCGGAGATGCTGCTCCGCCATCCCTTCCTCCAGTTCTCCACCGACGGCGACGGCGCCGCCTCGACGACCCCTTCTCCGAGGAGCGTCTTCGGGTTCCCGGCGTGGGTGTCGCCGGCGTCCCCCCGCCCCTCCGCTGGCTCCTCGACGTCATCGCCGACGCCCATCGAGCGCCTCCGGCGGCTCTCCGCGGGCTCGCCGGAGTCCGAGTGGGACGCCTCCGGCGACCCCTCCGGCCACTCCGCCGGCGGCCGGTGGATCACCGTGAGGCCACTGCAACACTGCAACAGCTCCTCGATTGATCGGTCATGGATCAGCCCCCGATTCAACCAGAGAATCATATAAATTCTGATGAAGTCCCCGTCGATCGGGCTCTTCGTTCTGTTTTCTACCGATCGAATGAATTATCAGAAGAAGTTAACTGCATAAATATTCAGACTACCAGATCGAACAGAAAATGGCAGATATTATAATCGACGAAATAAATGCTTCTATTCTACTAGTAAACTAATTAATTACATTTAACCACTTAATCCATAGAGAGAGAGAGACAGCGGCCCATTACCTATTACGGTTTCTCAGGCCCATTAATCCTGTGACGGATTCTCAGGCTAAGGCACAGGCTAAAACCCTGTTTCGCAGACCCACGGCGCACTATCTGATTGTCAGCCCTGTAGTGCTGTTCCTCTCGCCTCCCCTCCCATCGTCATCCGGTGGAACACCAGGGGAAGACGATGACAGAAGTCGGGCTCTGCGCGGTTCCTCGTCCTCGCCCTTCGTTGGGAGCAACGTGGAGGTCGGGTGCAGGAGGCGCGAGTCCTTGGTGGCATAGGTTGCCACAAGTGGAGGAAAGTCTCTTCTTCCCTGGCTCCCCACTATTACTCTCTCTCTCTCTCTCTCTCTCTCTCTCCTCGTGTAAATACGCCTTCTCTTCAGCGAGAATTTTTTTTGTCAACTGTTGAGCTTGGTGAAACTCTGAGAAGAGGTTGAGCAACCATAGATGTCAACTGCATGTCGAATTCTCTTGTCGCAAATTCGAGAATTGGGTTGGCATTGGGAACCAAGTATTTGACGTTTGTCAGAAGAGAGCAGACACATATTCTGTTATTGTCATTACAATGCTCTCAAGGATAACAGTTCGCTCACTGAAAATCTGTTGTCATTAAATAACGGCAAAATGAGGACTGGAATGTTATATTAAGACCTTGGGAAGGAGATGCCATTTTAGGCTACTCTTGTGCTGGGCTGAGGAGTTTGTAAGAGATCAAAATTTCCGTAGATTATTTTTTTTAACAAAATGGCTCCTTGTACAAGCTAAATCTGATAAGCGGAAGCATTAGATGAAAGCGGGGGGGATCAAATATATTTTGTTTCTTGTCGTTATAATGCATCGAGGGAAGAAAGTCAGTATTGGTCGGCCCGTTATATTCACATAAATCAATAGTAAAAGTTCATCATGAGAGATTGAAGGCGAAATGTGTGACCTCAAACAGAGTTTAGGTGATAAAATATTTTTTCTATGGTGGATGAGTTCGCTAACAGATAGAAATTATTTACCGTATTAAGAGCGTAGTGACCACATCTGTAAAGTCATAAATTTTTTGAACTAAAAATGGAAATTATTTACCGTATTAAGAGCGTAGTGACCACATCTGTTGTACCCAATTAATCATTCAAAAAAATGGAAGTATATGACGTCCATGCTCTTATCATATATTGGTTTGGATAGGCACTTTCAGTCAGAGCTAATCATCTACGTTTTCTTTTTCAGTTTCTTTTTTCTAGGGACTTGGTTGTTCAATCATGACGATCCTTTTTTCTTATCTTTATTTAACTTGATAATGATAATTATGCTGTTTGGCTTTTGCAGAAGCTTCAGATATCTTTTATAGATGATTTGACATCAAGAAAGATACGATTTATTATACCTCAAGGATTCTCATCCAGAAGGCTTGTCAGATTATCCACTGCTATAAAATGTTCAGCTGAGGATAGAAAAATCGATCCGGCTTCTGTTGAACGCCCTCCATACTATACGTATATGGATTCAACTTCTGGGCAGCTTGAACCAGCGTCTGGTGCACGTGCTAGTATACCTGGTAGTGAGTACTGGCCTGAAGGCACAGTTAATCGTGTGAATGCTGCCAGGGCTCCTGAACCAGTTGGTGTTTCTGAGGGAAGGCCTTCCTACGGGAAGAAACCGGGGAGCAGAAGAAAGTATAAGGGGCGTGTTTCTGCTTCAGAATCTACAGAAGCTTGTACAGAGGCCATCACAGAGGCTGGTACAGAGTCTAATTCCGAAGGTAGTACAGAGGCTACAGACTTGACTACTAACCTTCTGGAAAGCTCAGAGGACGTTGCTGATGAATCTGTAGTTCCATCTGATGAATATGTAATTTATCAGACAGAAGTTAAAGAAGATAATCTCACTACCTATGAACAGCACAAAAAACTAGGAAGTCCACATCCTTTTGTTGATCCAGCTGTGAAGAAGCCAATTGAAGAGCCTAGAACAAGTGAAGAACTGTGGTGGAACTGGCGGAAACCTGAAAAGGAGCAATGGTCACGTTGGCAAAGACGGCGTCCTGATGTGGACACGGTTAGTTCTCATTAATAAAAATATTATAAAGCAAGAGGACTCTGGTGTATTTATGTAACTTTTTGTATGTGTATATCTTCAGTTCTTTTGTGTTCTTTGTGCCTTCTATAGTTTACATTGTTCAGTTCAAACTAAAAACTCAATTGTTGTTTATTCATTTGATTGGAAACATCCCTCTGATTTGGAAAGCTGTGATATTCGCGATTTTTTCCACTTATATTTTAGCTCTTTTTTCAGGGCATTGACTAGCAGATTTTGCAGTTTCTAACATTGGAGTTGGTTTTCAGGTTTTTGCCAAGGCCATGGCAGAGACTGGGCAAATAAAGCTTTATGGGGATCATCCTACCCTAACAGAAACAGCACTTGCAAGAGCTAGGAGAAATGTATTCAAAGAAGAAAGGTAATTGCAAAATAAACTTTAGAAAGCTTTATTGTGTAACCTGAAACACGTAGTTAAATTATGATGCATATTTCCTATTAATATTCTTTTAATCGTCTTTACTTAACTTCTTATTTTTCCTCAAAAATGTGGAATAACAGCCTGTAGGAACTATGATCTGAAGATCACCCTGAAACGAAAAGACAGCCTAGATCTTAAAAAACATAAAAACCAAATGCATGAATCAACTACTGATTCTGCCCAGCCGTCTATGATTGACATCCAATATTTGTATGGAAAAACGATAAAAAAAGCATACCACTTTGTTTCTCCAGTTTGAGAAAATGATGGTAATCGTTTAATTTATACTTTTTCATATATTTTCATTTTCCGATTGCTAGTTAATTGGTTACATAGACTGCTGAGATTCTTAATGCGAAATCTTTTGTCACTTTTTCTGTGTGACAAAGTGTACGAGACACCTGGCTCTATTGAGATTAAGCACAGATTGATTACACCGTATTGAGACAACGAAAGTAGTCCTAACGAGTAAAAAAGGGAGGAAAAATTAAATTTCGGGACACAGCACTTTGATGAACCTGTCATCTTAATGGACAATGCAATGGTGGATTTAAATTTATATAGTATCTGAAACTTTTATTTTTGTCATCATCAACATAACACAATGGAACGTTTATTTATTTATAGTCAAGAGGACAGTGGGATTTTAGAATTATCCTATTTAGGAGATCAAATTTCCAGCATCATTACTGAAAACAGAGGATTTTTGGTTGAAAGAAAGATTATAGATAAGAATCCAGTTTCAGGAATGATATCTGAGTTATCATGTTAAATCAATAGAATTTTCAAGAACCGACCATTACTTTTCTATTGTAATGTCTTTTAAATGTGTTGATTATGACAAAAGTGATTGAAGGATATAGCAACTGTTTCTTTTTTTCATTCTGTTGATATCTTTTATCCCTCTCTTATGATAATAAAGTAGGCTGGCTTTTGATATTTACCTTATAAGATGATACACCAATAGGCTAAATATAATATAAAGTTAAATTTTGCATCGGAATGTTCACTTATCTAAATTTTTGAACCAAAAGAAACCAAAAGGTCAAATCTTAATGCAGAAAACAGTTTGTATCTTCATCCAAGATGTAGTAATTTGTAACCCGCTTTAACTCGCCATAATGAAAATGCAGTTGTACGAGAACAATTCTAAGTGAAGTCAATAATGATCCCCACTGATAAATTACACGAAGTTCCGGAAACATGTTCACAAACTGATGAGGTTTCGGTGATACACCCCACGGAAAATGATCTAAAGTTATACAATCTGTAAATGTGCTCCATTTGACCAGATGGACTCTCCTATGTGGTAGTGAATCTCAAAACATTAAACATACCTAACTACCTACTCTAAATCACAAACATGTGCCTAGAAATAGAAAAGGGTAAAAAGAAATTCTGTGAGACCATTTTGTCAACATAGTTTATGTACTCTAAAGTTTGGTCGTTTATAATGACAATGCATCTGACTTTTTCATGCAAGCTGTTCAAACAGTTGGATGCTTCCAATACGACTTAACATTTTTGCAGAAGCTAATTGTTCCAGTCAGTTTGAAGTTCCTTGAAGACCACAAAACGTCTTCATAGTAATACTCAGGAGTAGTATAAAAGTTCAATTTTAAAATAAACGAAAACAGTATCCAAGAACCCTTTTGTTTTCTCATGAGTATCACAGAAATCTATGTTCTTCCAAATTTTAACTTTTTAAAGTTTTGATTTGGACACTTCAGTATTTTTTTCCTGTCATCAGTTTCTTCTGGTAGGTATAAACAGTGAGTCTGTGGAATTGAATTTTGATAAATTATGGCTCATAGAATTCTACTTATCTAAAATTTTGAAGAAAAGGAAGTCAAGGGGAGAAATCTCTCCCTACAAAGCTATTTGAATCAAGTTTAAATCTATCACAATTCTGTACTTTGATTCCTTTGTGATTTCCATCTTAGAAACCGTACTTTTCTACCTTTGAGAATTTCATGGCGTCACTCAGACAAGTATCTATGATTTTTGGACTTTTTCTTGATGGTTTAATCAGTATATCAGCAACTAGATGCATTCGCATTTTCCCTTTACATAGGCCGTTTTGAACTTGATTTTTATTTCTCATCTCCACTTTTATTAGTTGCGTCATTGATTACATTCATTTTTCATGTTGATATATGTTCATTTCATGTTCAACCAGTGTCCTGAAGTAGTAACCTGCATTGTTTCATGTGTTTAGGCTACAGATAGAACAAAAAAGGTTGGAGGAAATTGGTCCATTGGCTTACTATTCGGAATGGGTCAAAGCATGGACTAGGGATACATCACGAGAAGCTGTGCAGAAGCACTATGAAGAGACTGGTGAAGATGAGAATACGCAACTCCAAATAATGTTCCAATATCAAACAGCTGAAGAGTATCGCATCATGATGGGTAGAGATCTTCGTGTTCGGCGAGATCCTTTAGCAATGAGGATGCGAGAGGATCAAATAAAAGAGAGTATGTCAAACATGTGGAAGTATAGAGTTCCATTACCTTTCATCTGTTTATCTTGAATTTTTTCATAAAAATTACTTATCAAAGGTAAAATTGCTAGTTAGGTTGTGAGTTGTGAGGAATTATAGCATTCTATTCAAAATGGGAATGGATTCCCGAAGTTTTAGGGCTGATTCCATCTGGAATTTGATTGGACCGCCAGTTCAGTCAGTTGGGGCATCAGATTTGGTTAAGAACATGAAACGGACCTTTCATAGTTTTAAAATATGGAAGAAAAGTTTAAACAGTAAGTGACTCAATTAAATATTTATACATGGACTCTTGAAACAACTGGACCTCTATTGAACCTTCATTTCTCCACACCTGATGCCCTATTATCCTCTAATGTTTGGGGTGGGGTGGGGGTGGGCTTTGTGTGAAGGACAGTTAGGGGGTGAACAGTAAGGTGCCTCATTGGTGTAGCTTGTGTGGGCTGGTGGCTGATGGGATAGGTTGCTGACTAGTGGCAGCTGATTTTCTTTTCCTAATTCCTCTTTCATCTTCCTTAATTGCTCTCTTATCATCCTCTTCTTTGGCCCTCTAGCGGCCAATGTCGCTCTCCTCTGACCCTGTCATTCTTCCAAAGATGGGGAGAACTTAATGCCAGAATCAACTTTTTTCTGGTCGTTTCTGTGCCCTGGCTTTTCAGTTTCAAAAGGCATTTAGATTTCCATTGGGAACGGCATGGTTTATTATGTGCATCAGTTCTGTCAATCATATCTCAATTGTTGATTGTTTCCCAGGGTGAGCTTTGTTAGATTTAAAGGTTGCATTGAACAATCATTAGGTGCTCTCCAGTCAGTTATATTAATCAGTCAAATGACGGCGACGCCTTCTTTTATTTTTATTTTTTAAGAGATAATTTCCTTGTTGTTAGGATACAGAAACCCCCATGGTAGTCTTAAAGTCAGTTGAAAAGATGCATTTGTGCTTTAGTTATGTTTCCTGTTTCACATGGATTACAGTTCCAAAATTGTAACATTAATATTCTTTATTTAAATCATTTGAATAATTTCCCGTTTTGCTTGGCTACTTTGTGGAGTTTGTAAACATTTGAATGATCAATGCAACTAGCTAAAAGGGGCCCAAGTTGACCTAGTTGCAGCATATCTTGTAATATTAGTGATAAGTGAGTCAGTTTATATTTAAATTATAGTCATAACTTCCTGGAAAGTATATTGACATCGAATCTGGTAACGTTTTATTCATGGTTTTTCGCAGTATGGGGTGGTGACCCTGTTTACCCAACCGTGAACTACATTCAAGATCCAGATGAAGTGATTGACTTTAGAGGCCCTGATTTTCATGAGCCAACGCCCAACATGCTATCTTTTCTTATGGAGGTATATATCTCTATCTTCAAGATTATTGCTCCATTTCAATATAATTTCATATATATTTATCCACTTTTTCAGTATAAATGCTGTCGAAAAATATTTCTGTCGTAATATACAGATACATTAAATGGTTTTTAGGTTGCTCTTTACTGCTTAATGTATATTCTGGCGCTCACTTTGACTAATAGACTCTATGTTTGCTGGGATTTTTATATGTATCTAAAAAGTATCATTTATCTTCATTAGACATTTGCTTTAGCTGTTGTTTAAGCTATTTCATTTGAACATTCTAAAATTCTTGCATCCTACAATTCTTGTTTAAGCTCCGCCTTATTTTACTTGTACACAAAATGCTGAAATTTTCAGTGAGAGAAAGAGTCTTCTAGATATGAAAATGGTTTTGATTGCCATTCTCTTTCTCCTTTCATTTGGAACTCTAATGTCTCTTCTGCTTATTTCTTTTTCAATATTAACAACGACTAGATAATTTGAAGGTTTTCCGTAAATAGGATAAAAAATTATCGAAGTTTGTATAATATAGAGGAACAGAAAAGGGGAGAGGTCATCTTAAAAGCTGGGAAATGAAACACCTATTTTTCAACATATTGGATTGAAAAGGAGCACGATTAGTTCCATTTATGTATTAAAATCTGTTGTTGATGGCCTATTTATTTTTAATACAATTCCACTCTTTATTCTGTGACTTGTATTTTTGTTTGGTTATAATATTTTATAATTCCTTTATTGGCATTGGTTTGTTTTGGACTTTGGCCTTCTTGAAGGTGATTTTTGGGGAGGAAGTAGGCACACCAAGGTAAATTGGAAGTTTTCTTTTAAAAGACGCTCCTTATGATGTCCTGATGTGTGAAATTTTCTTGTATATCCTATTTTGTCCTTCCGAAAGTCCCAAATAATGATTTGGAGACTTGTAATATCATACCCTTCCTAAAATAACAGTTGACGCTTCCATGTTCTCTTGATGTTAAATATGAACGTTGCTGGGAAGACCCTTTGTCAAAAATTCTGACACTAGGCTATTTCTGCACTTTGAGACCTCTGCTATGACTTCAAGAACAGAGCAGGGGATGTCTCGAGCATTTAATATATGAAAAAAGCATGAACCGTAATTCCTGAATGTTAAATATTCCTTAAAAACTTTTCATATCTTCTGTTATGGAGACAGCAAGTAAAACTTGGGATTTCCGGTTTTTCTGGAATGCCAACAACAATATTTGCTCTGATGGTTTGCGCCAAGCTGTCATTTCATAGGAGACGAAAGCATGAGACATTTTAACCGTTACTCCAAATCATGGAAGCTAGGAGGCACCCTACATATTTGTAATTGTCACATTTAAGAGAATTTTCAAATGTAGACCTATTTGGGTACTTCATGTCAATATAGGCTGTTTAGACTCCCTCCAGGATTTCTCTGCCCATCATAAAAACTTGTGACTCTTTGGAAACTTTGAGAAAATGCAGCTTCCGCTCTTCCAGAAAATCCTTGGCCATTGCATACCTTTTATCCAGAACAGAAGAAACCTTTAATTAGGCGATAATCCATTTGTAAACCATTTTTTATATTATGGACACTAACATGTCTGCATTTTTATTAGAATCGTGTAGATTAGTCTGTTGAGGACATATTAATTTTTTACTAAGGACTCTTTGACTTCAGATGCATAATTCTAACTAAGCTTCTCAATCTCAGGAAGGAAAAATCATATCAAGGAAGGACCTTGATAAAATATTGGCCAGAGAAAAAACAGAAGAACTCGAGGTGATTACTTTTTGCTTTCGTGTGGATTTGCTAAATTTTATAATTTCAAGTAACCCGGACCTCCTAGTAGTTTGAACTTTTCTTAGTTTCTCTCTGAAGTTTGTATATCTGGAAAATGAAGTGGAGTTTTTGGTGAGAAACCTATATGCTCATAGACTTTTCTTAGTCAAGTAGATTACTTTTTTTCATATGTAATATTTTAGTTGTTTTGAAATGTGAAATACATCAATTCAGGATTACAGTGCAGAAAGTACTTACAGAAAATAAACACGTGCGTGACTGTTATTGAATCCTGGCTTCTATCTTCTCTATGTATACTCTGTTTTTGACCTATGATTCTGTAACTGCAAAATCAGATGGCAGATATTGATGAAGCAATGGCAAGGGCTGTTGATATTGGAGAGAATGATGTGAGTTGATTCAATTCTCAATTGTTGGATCATATAGGTTTAATGATTTAGTTTTTTTTTTCCAATCAAGTAGTATGTGTACGCTATTCGTGCTTAAATATTGACATTGGGTCTTTCTGCTTCCTTGTACTGAAAAAGTACGGAGAAGATAGTGAAGATGAAGGAGATGATGAAGCAGAAGAGAAGATCACACGCAATTGGAGTGTCCTAAAGAGTACTCCTCAACTTCGGAAGACCAAGGTCTTACATCTTAAATTGTTTATTTCTTCATTTTGTATGAAGGCTTGGTGTGTGGACATTTTAGTAAAAATAATGTTTATGTTCGTACGAAGTTTCTCCTCTGCAAACAGTTAGTAAATAGGCAGGTTCAAAAATGAGGCATGGGTCTATGGTAAATAGCTCTTAATATTTTTAAATTTTTGTTCATGCTGGTCAATAAAACTTTTTTTCAATTATTTACTTATCCAATCTAAACAGACTAATGACTAGCCAGATGTGATCTGTAAATAGTAACAAAAACCGAATCAGTGTCTGGGCCACCGACAAGTACCTATTGGGTCTCGAATGAAGCAACCTTCCTGGGCTCGGAGAAAGCTAATTTCCTCGACCTAGACCGAACTAGAAACCCATGTCTGTAGAAATTTGGCCAACTGTCCCCTCCTACGTTCATGTGAGACAGTTATGCTTGAGCTTTAATGTGAATTAATGTTTCAATTTCAACTTCCAATGTCGTGACAGTTGTGGAAGCTGCATGTTTGATTGGTATTTCCTGGATCGTGATTTGTGAAAGCTGAATCTAAATTGCGACGTTTTATCTGTTTTCCATGATATCTTGTCAGTATCAGTCTTTAAGCAACCAGCTTTTTTCATTTCTGTGCAGACCAAAGAGAAAAAGGATGATGAGATGACTCTGGAAGATGCTCTCGACGATTCAGAGAACTTAACTGATTTTCTTATGGACTTTGATGAAGAATAAGATTTCTTATCACTTCTTTCAATAGCGTCTGAAACATTGGTGAGCAGCAACTAGTTACTTGTTTTGCATCTTTTATAGAAAAAAATGGATTAATGAACGGAAAGTAGGCTTGTTTGTTGAATTAGAAACATACTGTCATATTCTTTTGCAAATATATGTCAAAGTAAATGCGCATGATGTTCCAAATTTCCAAATATGTAACCCTTGCTCTTGATAATTAAATTTTCAACACTTAGTAGTCTGTAACTTTGCGTTTTTATTGGAAGTGCAACCGAATATATAGGGGACATTAAAACCTGTAGCTGTCTACTTCCAAAATCAGTAGTTTGGGAGCATCGCAGTGCTTGTTTTGCATTATCAGTTAAACAAATTGTGTTCATATTATTAGAATAATATAAAATTTTATGAAGTTTTTACAAAATGGCGCTACCCACCTCACTGGTATTGGAAGAGCTGTCCTGGTGACTCTTGGGAACCAACTTATTTTCTTTTGAGCTTTCAACTGCTGCAGGGTGTCATTCCTCACATCTTCAACTGTTTGATTCTAATTGAAATCTATATAATAGGATGCTTGACGGGAGCATATGATGATGAGAGTAATTTGACTTGAGAAGGATCATAAGAAGGATATTGTCACTTGATGACCTTCGATGATTTCCCTGCAGGGTTCTGCATTGTACACAAAGACGTTCTGAAGAACTTAAAAATACCTCTGGATCTTGAAGCCGTCCCCTATAACGGAAATTGTCTAGGGTTTCATGCAGAGAAGGTATGCTAATCTGGGGGGAGAGTAAACCACCGAGGTTCTAACTCTAGCTTACAGTGGTGTTCTTGTAGGCCTATAGCCTCTAGCATGTCTCAGAGAGGGAACGTTCCGGAGATTTGGAGCAGAGCTACAGGATTTGGAGGTATGTGTCTCATGTCACTCTACATTTGTCGATGATTGTATTTGTAATGACTACATGCTATTTGGGAACTCTGTTCTGGCTTCTTGGTCAGTTCCATGTGAAGCACACTATCTTCATATCTTACGTTGAGTGCTTTGAACCAGCCTGCCTCTGTTCAGTCTCCTCCGCAGTCTTCATGCCCTCGTCTTTAAAACTCACATCAGGAGAGGGTTGACGATACCAAAATCCATTCCAAATATCCTATCGTAGGTGTAGCTTATGGATTTTTAATATTGTTTAACAAGGTTTATGAAAAAAATATCTCACTTCAGTTTTATACTCAAAATGTGGGTTCTTAGTATTTCTTATTATTTTTCATTCTTGTAGGGTTCGCTCACAAGGTCCATTACCTTGTAGTTTAAGGCCACATATTGGTGTAAGAACATCATTTCAAAAAAAGAATGAACGTTTTTCTGATCCAGGTGGCCAGGAAATGTAAAAACGTGAACTGTGAATGTTTGAAGGTCCAAAATGACTTTTGAGTACCATATCCAAACATATTTGTGTATCATATCAAAAAGAGCAAATAGTTTATGTCAAAGCACAATGATTATGGATAGAAAGGAAATAAACTAGAGCTACATTGAAAATATGATGTAATAGTGCAAGATATAAGTAATGATTGTTAGAAATTAGGTTAAAGCTTCTAAGGGCATCCAACCTCTGAAAAATAATGTACATGTAGCTATATATCCTTAGGAAGCCTTTTAGGTACCTAATGATGGAATTTTTTCTGTGAACATAGGCATGCAATTTTTTGTCTGCATATTATCTTTCAATCAATAATGTACATATGGCTCTGTCACTTTAAGGAATCCTATTTCAGTACACTCTAAGGTGTTCGATAAGGATGAAATTCATGAATAGCACTAATCTAACATCAGTATCATCGTCATGCATAAATAATCGAACACTAAATTAGATTTTATAATTCTGAACCATACTAATCTACGTACAAATGTATATATTGGATAAGTTATAATACAATCTTATGTCATTTGAACTACTCCACCCAAACTACCTCGTCTTTATGCTTTTATAGGGAGATATGAATTTTTTTAGATACTTGGTGACCAAGTGTGAACTTTGAACTGTTATTCTAAATTATTTAATGAGTTCAGTAGGTTTCTATTGAGTAGGAAAAATGAGGGAAGACTTTCTAGATTAACTCATCTAGTCAGATCACTAGCTACTGTCTAGTAGAAGAACACTCTTTTTAGTGGCCATACCTTTCTTAGCCTATGTTCATTTATTGGGGTTCCTACCCTTAGTTTTCACTATTCCTTCTTAGGGAACACTAACTAAAATATGAGAGATCAGCAAATGGCATCACAAGATATCTTCCCTATGTTAGATATGAAGATTGTATCTTACCTTTCTATTGTTACTAACCTTTCTATTTTTAATATTTTAATATTTAAAATGGTCATAATTATTTAATAAAATATGTTATTCTTGCTCTAATGTTTAGGTGAAGTTATAAATTATTCATTATTAAAGTATATTTTCTAAGCAAAATATATTAAAATGGAATCATCAAGAAAAAAAGTAAATTTTAATTAAAAAATAAGAAAATTTGAGAGATAAATGTGCCTACCTAATTAAAGGCAAGTAAAAAATAAATGAGAAAGTGTTTCAACCTATGTGTTGACACAACTAAAAGTGAATAAAAAGTTAAAGTGAGAGAAAGTGTGTCAACTCAAAAGTCAACCAACATGAGAGTGAAGGTGAACACTTTGTCATTTCTTGCCCCTCAGCTAACATCTTAGAACGTCACATGAAACTACAAAAGCCATTAGTACTCTCTGAAGTGGAAAAACATCGAATGACCATATGCTAACTCCACTTTTAAGAAGATTGTGTCATTGATAGGATTTCCTCCTAAGAAACATACTTTGGAATTGATAAAGGAGTATGATAGTGACGATGATTACAATCCTTTCATGGTAGAAAATACTAGTGTAGAAAATACTAACTAGAAAATGTTTTAGGACAACTACAAGACAGTTGAAGAGTACATTGAGAATCATCAACCTCTAATGCCTTTTCCAAAGGCTTTATAACCATAACCCAATAAAAGAGCTGTCTGGAATGAGGAATTGATGAAGATCTTCATGAATGTCCATGTGACCATTCCGCTTACTAATGCCATAAGGTATGTTTCTATCTATGCTAAGTTCCTTAAAAGAGTTTGCACACCACACAAAAATTCAGAAATATCTAATTATAAAAAATTCAAGTGCTATAATTTAAATAAATCTTCCTAGAAAAATAAGATATCCTGACACACCACTGATTACATGTGAAATGAGAGGCATATCACTTCACAATGCTTTGCTTGACTTAGGAGTAAGTGTGAACCTCATGTTGACCTCCCTATTGAGTAATTTAAGCTAGAGGAATTGAAACCCACATTGGTAATTTATAGTTGGCGTATAGATCAAGCAAAACACTTAAAGAATTGGTAGAGGATGTGATTATGAAAATTAAGAGATGTAAATTTCTAGTGGATTTTCTCATCTTAGATATGCCATCATCAAGAGAGGTATGTTGGATGATGATTATTTTTAGATGACCTTTTTTAGTAAAGGCCAATGTGAATATCAATTGTGCAGATGTAATAATTGATTTTTCCATGAGAAACAAACAATATCACTATTATCTTTCAAGAAACAAAGTATCTTGACTACAAAACTGATGTAGAATATAACATCATAGATGTTATAGATGAATATATATACCAAACTGAAGGGATGCTAGCCAACTGATTAACATGCCCACAATACGTACATCTCTAACTACTGCTAAATCACATCTAGATAAGAATTATAAAGATATGACCTCTTGCAGCATCCACTTGGCATAGGGCACAAACCATTACCAGAATTATTGAGATATATATATTTTAGAGATGATGACACTCTGCTCATCATCATTGCCTATGATCTAGCTAAGAAATAAGAGCAACTAATTATTAAAGTTTTGAAAGAACACAAAGGGGTAATAGGATAGACAATGGCAAATTTGAAACGAATAAATCCCAACATATGTTATGCACCACATCTATGTAGAAGAAAATGTCAAACCAAGTAAAGATGATTGAGTCCCAATATGCAAGAAGTTGTGAAGAAGGAAATCAAGTGGTTAGATGGATACATCATTTATATTGTATCAGACAACTAGTGGGTCAGCCCCACTTAGGTTGTATCAAAAAAGTATGACATGACTATTAATTAAAATGAAAAAGAAAAAAAAGTATAGACTAAATTGCCTACATCATGAAGAATTTGCATAGATTTTAGGAAGCTGAATATGGTCACCAAGAAAAATCAATTTTCACTCCCCTTTATTGATTACATTCTAGAAACATTAGTGGGACAATAGTATTTTTGCTTCCTAGATGAGTACCCATCATATAATCAGATAGCTATATACCTTGAAGACCATAATAAGAAGAATTTTACTTACCTTTTAAGACATTTGTATTTAAATTAATGCCTTGTAGTTTGTGTAATGCACCTACCAATTTTTAGAGGTGTATGATATAGATATTCTCTAGCATGATAGGAGAATATTTAGAAGTATTCATGAATGATTTTTTAGTGTTTAGAAAATCCTTCAACCAATGCTCAGAAAATTTACGAAAGGTTTCTGTTAGATGCATTGAAAGAAATTAATATTAAGTTAAGAAAAGAACCAAATCATGGTGAGGGAAGGAATAGTTTTGGGCCATATTGTTAGTGAGTGAGAGATGGGAGTGAACAAAGTGAAAAATAAATATCATAGCCAAGTTACCTTCGATAGTGAAGCAAATCAAATATTTCCTTGAACAGATAGGCTTCTACCATGAATTTATGCAGAAATTTTCCAAAATTATGAGGCCACCAACTCAACTACTAACCAAGCATGCTGATTTTCATATAGATGCCTAATGCTTAGAGGCTTTTAGTGTACTAAACATGCATTGACCAGAACACCTATTCTATGAGCACTTGATTGGTCACTACCATTCAAAGTTATGTGCGATGCCTCAAACTATGCCATTGGTGCAAA